GGGCTCAGCTAGCAGCACTCGCAGCGTCACGCGCACGCACGCACCCTATCTGCTTCCCTAAGAAATTCTATGCGATTCAAGAGCAATACGAAGAGAATGCAGAGGCTCTTGTACCTGCTGTACTTGAGCGCAAGGGGTCGCACTGTTGCGTCGAATCGTGCGCGCGCGTGCTGTCAATCAGAAACGTCACGAATGAAGGATTTTTTCTTCGAGCGTGCGCACCGCACCACTCACCAATGGTAAAGTTCAAGTCGACGCCTGTCAACTCTTCCCACGAGAGGTGGGAGTCGATGGTTGCTCTGACGTCTGAGCGAATGGTGTGGACCAATGGATAGACGCTCTGCGTAGCGCATTCTTCCAACAAGAGCGCACCCGTCGACTTTGAATTCGTCGCAGCTTCCAGGAGCTGGCGTGGGCGTGCGTGAGTGCGTGCGTGAGTGCGTGCGCGAGTGCAATCCGAACACGACCACTCGACGCTCCGTGCGCCACACTCACCGGGTCCGTCTCGCCTCCATCACCGCGCGGAAGTTCCGTCGAAGCAGCCATATCCACCTCTTGACCGTTGTGGTCACCCGTGCTCGTCTCGCCGCCCGAGGTTCGACTAGCTCTTCGAGATGAAGTGATTGCTGCTGCTGTTGCGGTAGCCGCCTTTGCAGCTCCTCCTGCTCGAAGCATGGCGAGCGAGCGTGCGTGCGTGTGTTGCGTGCGGGCGCTTGTTGCGCGGACGAACCAGCGAGCCAGCGAGCGAGACGATGCGAGGACGAGTCAACAAAGAAGCTGGATCCTTGATGATTGCCAACGAAGAAGCTCCTTGATGAACTTTGATGATTGCCGTCAAAGAAGCTCCTTGATGGTTTCCCTTCGCTCTTTGATGACCCGCGTTCTCGCTCGTGCGCTCCTTGGTGGTTCCCGTTTCGCTCTTCGATGATCCCGGTCCTCGCTCGTGCGCTCCTTCATAAAGACAAATGCACGCACGGCACGCAAGCCCTGGTCCATAAGCTCTGCTTCGCTCGCTCGCTCGGTGTGATGTGCGAGAGTCACGAGCGAGAGTATCGATCATGCTGGTCGTTGCAAGTGCTGCCTCAACTGCGACTCACAACATTTGTTGCAAGGGGCCCGCCCGCCCGCCGCGCGGCAAAACTCCACATTCGCGCGAAGCACGCGCTAGCAGCAGGGCCTAGGGCTTCTTCTACACACAGGCACGGCCGCCATACACTTTGCATCACGTGATGAGTCTCGACACGCGCGCCTTGCACATGTCATCACGTGACTATATGCAGCCTGGTTATCCCGAGGTGAATCTTGCTTCTCCCGGAAACACGCGTGTTTCAGAATCGATGTGGTTTGTCCGATCCCGGCTAGCTCAGTTGGTAGAGCGACAGACTCTTAATAAAAGGTCTGGATGCATGTGCATTCAACAAATCTGTAGGTCCAGGGTTCGAGCCCCTGGTTGGGAGGACACGGTTTTTTTTGCGACAAAGTTTTTCGTCACAAGCTTTTTTTGCGACAAGTTTTCGCAACAACTTTTTTGACCCCAATTTTCACCGACTGCCGACACTCTTTGCTGATCATCTCGGACAACTTCCTCGCTTCAGTGTGACAACGGCCGTTGCTACCTCAGGATGTCCTCTCTGCCTCGACGCACGACCGAGAGGTGCTGTCGATGGACGAGTGGGAAGAGGTCAGGAAGGATGCTGCAAGCTCGGTTCAAATAGCGCAGGACCGACATCGAAAGCAGTACGACAGCTCGCACGTCCCGCTGGAACTGAACGTTGGCGACTGGGTCTGGCTTGATACGAAGCATTACAAGTTAGATCACAAGCAAGTTTGGGACAAATTGTCACCTAAGTTCTCCGGCCCGTATGAGATGATCGGGACCACTTCGAGTGGAAACGCCTTCCGATTAGACTTGCCCGGTCGCGCACGTGCAGTGCACCCCACCGTATCGGCAAGCCACTTGGAGCCCTTCATCGGTCCACCACGGTCTAGACCCGGTCCAGAGCTAGTGGACGGTAACAAAGAGTGGGTTGTCGACAAGGTCCTGGGAAGAAGACCATCTGACCAAGGCTTTGAATACTTGGTCAAGTGGCTAGGATGGCCCGAAACCGAGTCGACTTGGCAACCGGCGTCGGACCTGACGAATTCCAAGCAAGCTATCGCAACGTTCAACAGAAGCGCACTGCAACAACTGAAGCGAGCGAATCCGAAGAACAAGGCCGTACTCGAGAAAACAAAGACGTGGCTCCTGTCGTAGAAATCCGAACACATAGTCTCCCGTTCTGTATGTTCTCTTTCCGTCGTCCCAATTGTATTCTCCCCCGTGAATCCCCCCCCCCCCGTTTCGTCCGCTTCCGTCTGCCTCTTCTGTGGGGCGGCAGGTTGTCACGGCGCGCGCGCGCACGCTCGCCTACATGTACCTTAGTCGAACGCGTCACCTCCTCCCCTTAATACCACGACCTTCCTGAACGACCGATTGACAGTCTGCCATGACTCGGCTTCGATGTTGCTGCATGCGTGGCCGGTTAGGGTCCGCTGCGTAGCAGCGTGCGGCTCTGCCGCGGTTAGGGTTAGGGTTAGGCCCGCGCAGCGCGCGGCTGAAGAGTATATCTTTGACCAAGCGCTGCCTCATGATGGCAGTCATCCGCACGGGCAATGTGCCAAGACCATGGACCATATACCTACACTTTACTCACACACACTCTCTCTTCAATACATCCATCCATTTGTGACCTAGCGTGAGCTTCATCGATTAGGGACAGGGAAGGTTAGGGTATTAAGGGGAGCGTCTGGGTAAGGTACGCGCGCGTGACAACCAATCAGGCATACTTTTGACAAAGTTGCTCGTATGCGCGAATCGCAAGTCTTGTCGAGACATTTCCAAGGCTCCGCATTCCAGGACGCAAAGGTGTCAGAAGACTCAGTGGCAGCCTGAGTGCGTCCCTTGTGGACATTGTCCCAATCATGAAATGCTTTTCGTGCAGGATCAGAGTGATGACCTGCTCGCGCACTCTTTGATGGCCTGCCAAGTCCACCAAAGGGCGCGCGCAAAAAGCATTCACACGGCTGTCGCTGTCGCTGTTGCTCACCCATCCCGCCGACTTGCCTTGGACGAGGCTCCTGGAGACCAAGATGGGCAACACCACCGCCCACATCAAGTACGCTGGCTGCGTGCATCGCAACGAGGCAACTCCTGCGATGCGCAATGCTGAGGATGAGGAGGACGCCCGCTCGCGCTGCACTTGTCGCGGCCAATGGAGACGGGACGGGTGGTCCGCATATACGCTCATCGACGCATTCAACGGTGAGTGGGATTTGGAGCGCAAAGAATCGTTGTGAATGCTCGCCGAGCGAGGTGGATCTGGAGTGCTTGCTCGCTGTCAAGTCGCTCATGATTGACTCGCTCCACGTTTGGCAGCTACTTCAACTCGCGAGTGGAGAAGGTTGGATTTGGAGCAAGACTGCGAGCGGTTCCTAGTCAGCATTTGCGGACCGTTAGCCGCCAACTCTGCCCCAGGTGGCTTTCATCACCGATTTGCTCCAGGAGCAGATCACTCTGCAGTTCAAGAGCTTTTTCTTGCAACGGGAGTTCATAGCGGAGGTTGGCAACAACCGCAGGAGCGTCGAGCAGATGTAGTTGCAATGCTCGACAGTCACTACAAGTCCATTCAGATGGCAACTGGACGCACCAACATCATGGTACCATCTGCCAAGGATCAATCCCACAAGATGGCAGCAAGTGCAAGTGCGGGGGGCTGCTTCGACTTTGCCCCAAGTCAAAAGTGCCCTGCTCCTGCTCTTCATCCATCTGTCCCCACTCCCGCGCCTAAAAAGGACGCCAAAGGCCGAACCAGGATTCTTCCTCCTGAGCCTTGGTCGAGTGACTGATGAGTGGACAGTCCTGTGTATTTGTACCGTGCTTCGTCCCCTGTATTTGTACCGTGCTTCGTCGGCTAGCACGACTCGCAAAGACTGTGTCGTCCCAAGCAATGGTGTGCGCCTTGTCTCACAGGTGCAGCACGAGTTCAGACAACTGGGAAAGCAGCTCCAGTTGCGCGTAGAGCGTAAGGATCTGCTGATTCCTCTTGCTCGAGCCATCCAGCAGAGCGATGGCCACAATGAGGAAGATGGAGACCAAGCAGATTTATTGGTACCTGTCATCCACCTCATCCTGTGTCTTGGCAGCACCCAGCGGGACAAAGGGATGTTTTTGAGGCCGTTGGATGCCATCTTGAATGCATCCATAGAAAGCCAGCATCCCGTCCTCCCTCAGGAACATGTGCAGCTTGATGTCCGTTGCCATCTTGACTTGATGATACACCTGCGGGAGTTGGGCCTTTAATGCCAGAGGCATGGTCCAAGCGGGCTCAAAGGAGCGATGGCGCTATGAACTGGTAGAAGCACCAGCATTCCACTCACAATCAACTTAGCCGTAATGAGCAGCAAAGAACCCGGACAGCGCTAGGGGTCCTGAGGGTCCTGACCTTGGGCAGCAGCAATGGCCACTACCTTCAATTGTTTCCCAGCTCTTGCACAGCTGGCCTTGAATGCATTGTGGCACATCTCCATGACCACCCTGTCTGCATTTGGCAGTCTTCCCTCTTCCATCAAGGATCTGCAGGTGATGTTTGCTGCACCACCTAAAGTAGCCCAGAAGGCAGCTTTGCCAACCTTGTCCAAGTTTTTGCGCCTTGAAAGAGCTCTCCATCCTATTGCTGCCCTTTTAGCTGGTCTAATGAGCATTGTGGGAGTATTCCTACAGACAGCCTTCGGACACCAGTCATCGCGTCGCTCCATGCCACGGTTGACGATCCACAACTGCAAAGTCTACATGTGGATGCTAGGTACAACTTGCCGTCCCAGTTGATCGCAATTATACTCCATGCGCTACAGCGGATGGACAAGTTTTGGCTAGTGCCTGCACAGCGTGCGAGACTTGAGGCAAGCAGAGCCTCACGTTGATGGAGGTCTTGGAGGGAGATCCAACACAAAGCAGGTGCTGACAGAGCTATTTTCTTGCTGAGGATCCATGAACGCTCAGCAAGGGGTTTCCAGTGCCCCTCTGTGATGGCATTGTTGTTGCCAAGCTGATCACGCTCCAAAAGCATGTGGAGAGAGTTGGCAAATCCATGCAGTGGAGTATGAGATAGAGAGCAAGAGACAGGGTGAATGTGGAACCGGATTGAGGGAACAAGAGTATGTGGAGCCGGATTGCAAAGACAAAAGAACGTGAAGCAAGGTCATGGGAGCAAGAGAGTACAGAGCAAGGCTGTGGGAAGAATAGAGTGCAGAGCCAGGTTGTGGGAGCAGAGGTCGACAGTGACGCTGGGTCTTTGGCTGCTCTAGATGTGACCAGAGCCTCCTTGGCCTTCCTTTCCTTCATGATCTGCCGGCGGTCTCATTTGCGACGTCGGCAAAGCAAGACGCGCAAGTGAGCAGACGCTTGGGATCCTCTCGCAGTCCAACTTCTTTGGGTGGCATCTGAGCTGGCGCGCATTCTGCAACAGCTGTGCTCCCGAAATTTGAAGCTCGGGCACAATGACTCCCATAAATCGTGAATTGCAAACGTCGCTGCAAGTGCCGCGCGTCAATGATGAGGGAAGTATTTGCAGATCTTGGCGTGCGCGCGACGAGAAAAGAAGATATCGCAGCAAAAAGTCTTGCCATGGCTTTTAAAGCAGTGGACGAGTCCTTGCGAAAGTAAAAGGCGAGTCAGAACGCCGTAAAGGGCCTGCCATTCTTTTTAGAGTCGCGACGTCGATCACAGAGAGATGCTGTACACCAGACGGACTCGAAAACGCTACCCTCTTCATCATGTCCGACATGGAGCGGGGTCACGATTCAGGTCGTGTGCTCAAACGGTACGCGCGCGTCCGATAAGACTCCAAGCTTTACGCATGTCTCGCCTCCAGCGTCGTGTGTGAGGCTTTTACTTGCTTCCCAGCACGCCCGCCGAACGCTTGACAGACCTCTCGCTCGCTCGCACACGACTCGCCACGACCCGAAAACACAGTCGCACGAATTGAAAGAATTATCTTTGTCAGGCAAGAGATGACAGGGCAGGCTACGCACAGCTGATTAGGAGGCCAAGAGCGTTCGTAGTCTTCAAGATCTAGTATCGGCACGTTTTTGCCCCTGCGTGATCTCTAGAGGCGGTCCAGGAACGTATAGTCGACTGGGGTGACTTGTCAAATTGTCCAGCCGTCCGCCAATCCAATGGAGACCTGCACCAGTCATTCGAACCCATCGCTTGATGCGAATCTTCAGTTCAGTCAACAACTGCGCAAGGGGAGCGATCCCCAAATTCAGCTCAAGGTGCTCTTATTCTTGCATTCTGTCACGACTCACGTTGTGCTCGAAATTACGGACGCGTTGGATCGTTTCGGCGGGTGCTGTAAGGATGCGGCACCGTGGCGGGGTGAGATGATCATCCTGCGCAGCCCCTTTCAAATCAACACTAACTATCGGCCGTATGCTTGACGTGCTCGTCCCTTCGCGCCAAAGTGACATGACCTCGCCCAATGTCCGCTGGCGCACCACCGTTAGACCTTGCTTGCCAAATCGCCCTTCCCATGCTGGAACCTTCTATGAAGACTGTTTGGGGACCGCGACGACGTAAGTGGACAGGAAGCTCGACATCCCTGCTGACCCCTCTCCTCATCAGCATAGCTCCACCTGCACCCTGCCACTGAACATTCTCCGGATAATTTCTCACGTTTGATGCGGGTGCAGAGTATTCGTTGGACTGCCGTTCGGAATGCGAGCGAGTCAGAACAATCAAAGCAAATCTAAACAACCTCGTGCCGTCGTCGCTACACTCACCGTGCGAGGAACGATATAGTAGGCTGCATCGTCGGATGTCGTAGAGAATGCGCTGGAACGCGCCGCTAGGCGATCGACCGTCGATCTGGCCTGCAACAATCCCCGGTCCAAGTCAATGTCCTGCACGGAGCGTTTGTCAGGACGAGGTAAGGACAATAGACCACCAACGATGCCGCCACCAACTAGCGCCAAAGCCAAGCCCTTGCCGCCAAAAGAGCCGCCCAATTTTGGCTTGGCCGACTGCTCGTGCCTGACGGCATCACCGGCAAGCGTGGCGAATTTCTGAAAGGGCTCCGACTTGGAGTTGATTCTTTCAAAGTTGTAGCGCGACGGAATGTAGCCCATTTGAGCCACGTTGCTCTTGGGATGATCTCTGACCAAGGCCTCATACTCCTCCGCCCGACCCACGTGCTGCCCTGGCCATTGTCCCCAATTCGGCGCAATGTTCGAATGCGCCGTCGACGGTGCATGTTTGCCAACTTCGGTCGGAGACTCGTGCTTGTCTGCGCTGTAGAACACCGCAGGGTGCACAGTCTCACTCGGCTGCTTCGGCGCATGGCTCGCCGGCGCTTCAGCACCATCTCTAGCTGCCAATTGCTGCTGATCGAACCCCTCGCTGGACGTGCGCTTCGACAGCAGCATGACCTTGTCCTCATGATCGCCCTGCGGTGTGGTCCGAGGATGAAGCGCGAGCTCAGCCGATGCTCCAGACATTGGGAAAGAGTCTTGCAGTGATTCGTGCAGGTCTCGCCTCGAGATGTAAAGACCGGCAGCACCGCCAACGAGCATGCTCTTCCAAGGCAGCTTCTTCTTCTTCTTTTTGACATCTGAGTGCTCCGACGCCGATGCTCCTTTCTCGACCTTGGACACCTCGGTGCTTTGCTCTCGCTCTGTTGCTGCATCAGCAACGGTTTTATGCTCGTGATGCTCCGCTATCTGCTCTCCGCCTGGCTTCACCTGCACCTGCGTCGATTCCCCCTCGTGCTTGATGTTCTGAGCTACTGCGGGCACCGAGGCTGCCTCTTCGATCTCCGAGTGGCGAGCCACGCCGTTGCTCACGACTTCGTTGCCCACAGCAGGCCTCGTCTGCACGCGCTCCGGAGTCATGAAAGGAGACGAGTGCGCCGACAAGAAGTCGCCGCCAGAAGCCTGGCGTGGCGTCTTGCGGAGAAGCGGCTCGGGGGAGAGCGAGGCCGTGCGGGCAGGAGTGCGAAACGAAATAGCTCTAGATAGCCCGCGACCGCGGGCCTCCTCTGTGCTCGGCGTCATCTTCTCGGTGCGAAAATGGGGGCCCCATCTTTCGTCGTGCCCGACGTGCACCAGCCTGATCGCTTCCTCTCCAGCGGAAGCCAAGCCCCTGCGCTCTACGGGCACGAATCCCCCGCCGACATCATAGCTCCTCCTGTCCAAACTGCTCACCTCAATCAAAGAACGTCTCTGTGGTGTCGACTTGCCTTTGCCGCCGCCATTACCGCTTGGTGCCGGTGTCGTTGGTGCTGGTGCCGGCGTCGTAGCGGCTGGGTCCGCGTAGGCATAGCCAGGATCGGCTGGATAAGACGCGGGATACGCAGCTGCCGCTGCCGGAGCTTGTTGTTGCTGCTGCTTGGCCGCTTCGTCTTGTTGTGCCTTGTACGCCTCATCGTCCTGCTGCATTTGAGCTTCGGCGGCGTCTTGAGCGACCTTTTGGTCGTGGCCCTTCTCTCCCATCTTGGTGATGCCGTACACGAGAGCACCACCGCCCAGAGCTGCGCCGATGATCGGCAGCTTGCTGCGTTTCTTACCTTTCGCGGGCACAGCTGGATTAAGGTGAGCAGCGCCGAGCAGCCTCTCTTCAGCCGCTGCAAGGCCAGCTGTGCCACCGCCGCTGTGAATGTGAATGTTGGTGGTACCGTGACCAGGGTGCATCGAAAAGGATGGTCCGAAGCCGCCCCCAGCATGGTGGCCTGGCAAATGCCCGTGCGCGTGTGCGCCTGCGCCGATTGCGTCGAGTCCCTTTGCAGCTCTGAGCTGCCCAGTCACTTGGTGAGCAGCCTTTTGCCAAAGACTGGCAGCTCTGCCGAGTTGAGGCTCACGCGCCTACGATTGCCGAAGGAGAAAAGGGGTGGTGAGGTGATCATGTTAGCGATTCCTGTGCATGGCGATCTGGAGCTCACCTGGAGCCAAGACACCGAATCGAGGAACGCAGCATCTTGCAATGACCGCTTGGCCACAGCGCCCTGCGCTTCAGCTTCAGCTTTGCGCTCATCTGCCTTTTCCTTCTTTTCCTCCGCCTTTTCAATGTCTTTGGGCGTGACAGTGTAGCCGGTGTGGGCCTTGATCAGGCCAGGAGTGAGCAATCCCGCCATTAAGCCGAGCGAACCCATGATCCATGGATGTTTGCCCGCTCTGGCTTTGGCAAGCGCTTTCTCCTTTCGATTTTTGTAGATGACATCTTTGACGGCATTCCCGAACTGATTCTCGCCCGGAGTGTAGGGACGAGTGGGATTTTTCCCCTTCTCCAACTTCACTGCCTCATCTATGTACCACGAAAAGCGGGACTTTGCAAGCGGAGCGCGCACCTGTATTCGTGTGCCGAGATCGGGATTCGTTTCAGCGCGCCACGCCAGAGAGTGGGAAAAGAGATCAGAAAGTGTCAGCGACTTTTTCGTGAAAATGAGGCCACACCGCGGGTTCGTTGGGAGGACAAAGGGAAGCCAGAATGCCATGTGGTGGTACAGGCCAAATGCCAGCACCTACGCACCTGTGAGTTACAAGCAGATCAAGCGTCAATTTCGGCAAGATCGACAACAACACGCAACTCACACTTACACCACCATCTACCCTGGGCTTGTCGACCGAGGTATGGACGACGGTTGCCGGCTTGGTCTCGGCATGCGCATGCTCGCTCGGAGGGAGCTCGCGCGTATGATCAGGTGATTTTGCGCGAGCTGGAGATGGACTTGGGCTGATGAAAGGATTGCTCGAGTGACTTTGACCCTTCTCCGCGATGGGAGTGCGCGGAGAGTCGAGTGGGGTGGTGTCCCAAGTGGTACCGTGTCGCGGAATTTGCGTACTCGGAGGAAAGGTGTGCGCCTTTTCCAAGATACGCACTGGACCGGGCAGAGGAGCGGGATGGCGGTAAAGTGTGCCTCCAGTCGGCGTCGTTGGCTCTGATCTGGTACCCGATGTGCTCGGTGCCAAGACCTTTTCTTTGCCTTTGATCTTGTTCAGGATGGTAGCAGCGTCTTCCAGGGCCTCAGGGAAGACGCGACGCTGCAAGACCTCTCCCATGGTGTCGTGAGACGTCGAAGTTTCGATCGAGCCAGACGCGTTGTACCGTTGGATCGTTCCGGTGTCCTGTGCCAAGTCGAGATGCCCAACCTCTCGTCTCGCCCATCCCACCACATAATTCGCATTGCGTTTGGAAACGAATGCAACTGAGCGCGTACTAACCTGTAAAATTTGAACTGGAATTTGCTCCTTTGTGGACGGCTGTCGAGCCGACAAAGTGGTCTGTGTGGCCCACGCACGCAAAGTGCCGATCAGCACGAAAGTTAAGAATTCAGTGGAGTCTTGGAGCATACGCACTGAAGAGTGGTGTCCTGAGAAATCATCTGCCGGTAGAGGTGCCGCATTGACGGTGCGAGCGATGCCAGCAGTGCTCATGAGCACAGCTGCAGCGGCATTTGAGACCTTCATGATGCCAGGCTGCCGTACCGGACTTTGCAGTAATTTGCCAAAGAGGGCACCGTTGATGATAGTGACCAGGACAGAACCTGAAAAGGCAGAAAAGCGCGGCAGTAGGACCAGCCTAATAACGAGAAGCGACTGAATGCAATGCCCAAAGTCAGATGGAGTCAAGGAAAAGAAAGCTCGACAACCTCACCGAAGACCAGCTTCGAAAAGTGTAAGAAGAGAGAGAGAGGAATGGCCCGAGGAGCCACAAGACGTCGCAGAAGCAGGTAAGCGTGTCGAAGGTGGGGGTGAGCAGACGGGCCATAGGGCGCCCTTATTTGAAGGGCGCGCGACGTCTGGATTTTGAGCATGTGTTTGGCCACAGGTGGCAAAATGTGTGAGAAGTCTACCATCCTCCACCACTCCTCTCTTTCGTGCCGCCAAGGCGCCTATCAGCGCCCGCACGGCGCAATTCGGGCAGCCAACTGGAGAACACGAGGCAGCATGCAGCTTTTTTGACCACCCGATCGCTGTCAGCGAGTGTATTGTGTAGCACAGTGCACCTACAATATACGCAGAACACGACGACACAACCACTCACGCGTGCGCAGGGCGTGCTGGGGTCGGTGGCGCGTATACGAGATGATGCGGGAAGGCCAGAAGGTGCGCGCGCAGACCCGCACGGTTGCAAGCCGCCCACCCAATTCGCAATTTAGCGCCTTGGCGCCTGCTTACGCTGCGTGCGCCTCGCCTGGTCGATCCAGTCTGACGCCAAGCGTCCCATCTCGGGCCAATACGTCTATTGACACACCATAAATATTTCTTCGTGACCGGTGACATGAATGAGTCCAAATGTGCTTCCATTTGAATTGGAATCGTTGTAGCGAAATTCGCTTACTGCTACCGGCCTATGCAGGTCTAGCGAGCAGGTGAGGGTGATAAGGGAGGAGTAGCAAGTGCTGCAGCGTCATGATTTTCGTGCGCAGATTGGTGACGAGCCGTCGAGAAAGGCGACGCCACTCGTTGGGGTGTGCGCGAGCTGACCGACGCAGACATAAATGAGGACCCTCCGAGTGCGTGATTAATCCGCCCACAGGTCCCGTTTGGCGTAGTGACGCCGGATGCGGATACCGACTGTGACGAAGGAGGAGATGAAGACGTGATGTGACCACCGCGCTGTGAGTGAGCACTGTTCGGCCTGGCGTTGCTTTTGCGATTGCTGATGGACCGAGATCGTCGCACTTCGGTCCAGTGCAGACTTTCCGCGCCGACCTCTTCGTCGTCGGCGTCAGACTCTGCTGGAAGATATGGGCTACCAAGAGATTTGGGCCACGTCGAGAGTGGCACGCTCGCTCTGGAGAGTGGCGCTCGATGCGAGCCGAGGGCGGACTTGAAAGGACTAGAGGCTGAGCCCTCGAGCGACAAATTAGCAACCTGCTCGGTCGGTGTGGACCGGCCAGGCAGCGCAGCAGATGGTGGCAAAACATTATCCGGGACGAAGCGTGCATTATCCAACGTCAACGTGTCGCTGCGCTCGAACACTTTTGATGGCTTCCGCTTAGGCGCGACCATCGCGCTGCCATCCGCCGACGAATGTTGTTGGGAGACCGCTTTGTCGTTCGGGGCGTCCGAAAGCGATTCTGCAGTGGATTCGTCTTCGGAGCGTTCCGTTCCCCAGTCAGAGGAGAAGGTTTCGTCGTTCGACACACGAGTCTCGGCTTCTGGTCGGTCTGCATGCAGAAAGCTGGTGCTTGGCTGGGCGCTGTGGTGGAAGGCGCGATCGGTGGCCGGAGCTGTAGCGGGAGCATCGAAGGGTGCAGTCTTGGATGCCAAAGCTTGACTGAGCGTTTCGAATGCCTCATTGCTGACTCGTGTACGCATCTCGCGCGCAGGTGACGAGCCGGGCGACAAATACTCGAGCCAAGCCCTGAGCTCTTCTCGTGACATCTCCGCAAAGCCGGCGGATGACGGGATTTCGACGCCAAGATCAGGTCGCTTTCGCGCACCTCTTTGGTAAATATCGTTCGTTGTCTTGCGCACTGGAACAGCAGATGGGGGAATTGATCGTCGCTGGTCCTCTGATTTGGGGCGCCCACCATCAGCTTTCAGACCAGCTGACACCACTGTGCGGCCAGGCAGGCGGCGATTCACCAAGTGGCGCCCAGTTCCCTTGGTGCCGTGCGCGAGGCTTTGTACAGCGTGCAGCAGGGGTCGATCGCGGTGCGATCTGGCTTTGAACGTATCTGAAACGTCATTTGTGGATTGGCGATCTGGGCGCTCTTGCTTTGGATCGCTGACGTTGGCTGGTGAAATTTGCGCTTGCCTTGAAGCACTTCGCCTAGGAGTCAAGGTCAGCGGAGAGTGCAGACCTAGCCGCTTCTGAAGGGCAATTGGTGTGTTTCCGCCCAAGCGAGCAAGGCCAGAATGGATGAGGGGAGCAGCAGCGCTGGATCCGCGTGTGAAAGCCATAATCACAAAGAGGCATAGCAACAGCATGAGCTGAACAATGCCGAAGCGCTTCTCCTGCAGGACCTCATTGGCGAGTACGTGCATTTCCGCCACCAGTCTACCTCGCTCCGCATCCACCTGCTGGCGATGCACATCAAATTCGAAGATGGCTTGCTGGAGGTCGACCTGCTGGCGGCGTTTGAGGCCCTCAATTTGCCTCCAATTGCTCGCGTTCAGAGCTCTAAGCATTTCGCCCATTCGCTCCTCCTGCCGCCGCTCCATCCGAGCGAAGACATCTCTCAGCATTTGCGTGCTGTGCTCAATGTACTGCAGGGAGAGCGTGGCGTTGGCCTCGAGCGCATTCAATCGCTTGGTAATGGTTCTGTAAATGCTCTCGCTACCCCCTCCGCTTCCTCCACCTCCATGGTTACCATTTGGTGGTGGGCCGCTTCTACCATTGCTGGCACCTGCACCCACGTTCATGGGACCACTTGTCTCTGCTGACACAGATGGAGAGGCTGCTGCAGTCGACATGGACGACGTACCCTGTGAGGAGACCGGAGGCGGACTCTCGCCTGTCGGGCCTGCTAGCGCCGGCTCGCCGCCTGCTACGACTTCAGATCTAGACGCACTCGAAGCAGCTAGCCTGTGCGAAGCTGACTCTGTGCCGTGCGGCGCCGAGTGGGACGAAGAGACGGCATCGCCGACCTCTGACTGCAATTGCGCCGGAGATCGCGGAAGCGCCGCTGCAGCGTTCGGCGGCGTCGAAGTCGCAGACGCATCGTCGGAACTCGTTGAGCAAATTTCAGCTTCTGTCGAAGTGGCTGGCAAAGAGCTTACGTTCGAGAGGCCCGAGGCGATTGAAACTGTCTCCGCCTGGCTTCGCTGCTGGCTAGCTTCGACAGGCACTGCGTGCTTGTCTGAAGCCGTTTCGGACGCAGCCATCGCCGTAGAGGAGAACAACCGACTTTGCTCGGTAGAAGCAGCTTTCTGAGCGACTTCAGTGACGTCTCGGTCTCCTATCCTCGTGTGAGACGGCAAGCTCGCAATTGCTTCGGCTTCTGCCGATGACTCGCTGCTAACATTGCCGGAGGCAGTCAAATTGTGCTCACCATTGCCAGAAGCGATGGTCATATTGGGGCTTGACGCATCCTCATGAAAGTGGGGCGATAAGTTGAGAGTTTCGAGTGGGTCTGAAGACTCTTTACGGGGTGTCGATTGAGGGGCGACCAAGCTATTCGACAGGTGCATCGGACTTGTCGTGCCTGGCTGAGAAGATTTCGACTCGGACGTGCCGCCAGCAGCCGCGGAGGTATCCGGTCTGCCGGCTATTGTGGTCTCCCGAGTCGATGGAGTAAAAGCCGGGTGTTTTGCCACCACCTCAGGCTCGAAATTAGCGCCTCCACGCCACGAGGGAAGCTGACTAGCTTCGTCCTCGGAGCTAGCGATTTGGGATGTTTCTTGCTCTTCCTGCTCAACGTCGGCGTCTGCAAAAATGCCAGCATCTTCGCGTTCCTTCTCGCGACGCATCTCTTCTTCTTCTCTGATGTAATCGTCCATTTGCGTAAGTCCATAAACCCTCAGCAATGAGACCGGACAGTAGAATTCGGAGCCGTAGTGCTCGAGGAAGTCAATCCGAAGGTAGCGGAAGAATCGAGCCTCGGAGCGGGGCTGCACAGTGTTGAACACCTATGTAGACGTAGATGATGTCATGCAAGTCAGATCCGGGTCATTTTCGTAATGTCAGTGGACTTGTCACTCACTTGCAAACCTCGAACATTTCTCGCTCTAAAAGAACCAATGTCTACCCAATCTTCGTCTCGATCGTACAATTTCCTCGCAACTCGAACTCTGAACCGCTTGAACATTCTGCTAAAGAATTCAAAGTTGGCCATGACGATGGTGTCGATGCTGATTTCATCACAGAGCTCCACTATCACGAACTGGCTTTCGCCCTTCGCCGAGGCGGCCGGCTGATCCTGACGTTTCACTCCCGGGCAGGGCGACAGCATATAGCGATCCTTCTTGTCGCTCAAAATGCTGCTCGCGAATTTTGCCGAAGGGTTCGACCGATGAACTACAGCTGCACAATCAAGGGAAGCAAAGTTCCATCGATGTTTCAGAGTTGCTAATTGAGCTGCCGGATTGCCCACAGCGGGTAATGCCCCGCCATCTGGCGATGACGGGCGTGGCAGAATACCCGAAAAAGTCGGCATTGCTGCCGGGGATCCGTCGAAGGGCGCGTGCTCTGTGGTCCTATTCATTGGCTGAGCACGGTATTCATCGTGAACTTCGGCCTTCTGCGCTTGGCTGTCAGCTCGCGGATTCCGGGAAACAGTACCAGCGCTCGGGATCGCCGAGGTGGCAGACGTCGCGAGTGTTGAGGCATGCGAAGCGTTCGTTGTTGTGCGCTGAGTTCCAGGTGGGTCTTGCGCAGGCAACGCACTGGTCGTTCGGCTCTTCGCCGTCTTGGCAGCCTTTCTAGCATCTTCCCTCTCCTTGGCAGCTGCTTCCTCGTGAGCTTTTCTCCAAGCCGCAAACGACAACCAGGTATCGCTGCCCTCTCCCCCAACGCTCTTGCTCCAGTCGCTGTATGCTTGCTGCTCCGAACCTGCAGTGGCGTCCAAGCTCGAGCTCGCGCTTCGTGACATCGTGTCTGTAGGCCAGACATCTGAGCGAGGAGCTTGCGGTGTTGCCGTCGGGTCTCGACGTGCGGTACTCTGCGAGGCAGGGACCCAGACCGCACTGCCCCCCACATGCCGCCAGTATCCTTCCGCTCCTTCCTCAGGCATGAATTCCTCAGCATGAGCCTCGTCACGGGAGACTCCCTCGGCATCCGGAGCCGCAATACGAGCCAAGCTGGGCTTAGGACCTTGATCCAAGCCCGACTGACCTCCGGCCAGGCCCTCAGGATCGTCTCCAGCAGGTAGCGTGATAGTTCCGCTCACTGCCCAGACGGTCTCTCTTGAATTTGGGCCTTCTTGGGGTTCTTTGCCGTCCTTTGCGGGCGCCAGAGGCTCGACGTTGGGCAGGGGACACAGAATAAGCTCTGAGCGAAGAGCAGCCGTAGCAGGCGAAGTGTCGATGCTAGGAGCTGGGCAAATATCGTTGAACAGCGAAGTCGTTCGTCTGCAGCCAGGTGGCACGCCTACTTGATGTCGCATAGGAGCCAGCGCGTTGACCGGGGTGGCGCCTTTCGAAGCAGAGACTTTAAAATTGCCGGCAGAGGTTGAATTGATTGGCTCACCAGGGTCGAACAGTGCTCGAACGGGCAGGGCACACAGCAATAGCACAGCAAGCGTAAAGATAGCTCGGGGTAGCGCTGCATAGCGCAGGCTTGAGCCTGCTGACTTGGTGGCCGGAGTCGCAAGATTGATCAGGGGTCGAAGAAGTTGCGACGCACGACAGCGAGGAGTCAGGAGTTTCTTGTCGTGAAGGGCGCTCGACTCGGCAGGGTCCGAGCAGTGGTCCGCGAGCGTCTGTGCAAATGATGTAGCATGAGGATGTCTTGTGTGCCTCCCTCCGCCGAACCAGATATGGCTTGATCTGGAAGCAGATCCCTTTGAGTGGCCCTGCATCCTTGCTCTTCCAATCTGGATGGTCGGAGGCGAACGCGAGCGCTTCAACCGGCCGGACCGAAGCTTAGAGAGGCAAAAGAATAGGATGTATGCGCTGGTCCTGGATGAGGGCAAGGAGCAACGATCTGCGTTGCACTTTCCCGAATGCCCAGAACAAGTCCTGAAGCGCAAGAACTGTCACAGCGATGAATCGTGAAAGCTGATGAGTCTCGAACGTGATCTAATGTTGGGGTGCCAAAGCTGAATCATCAATCACAATGCCGTAGGCGTGTGCTTTACGTTTTCGCATCTGATTCGGTGCATGCGACCCCGCCCGCCGAGGTGAATACCTTGCATGGTCATCCAGCATCCGTGCATCACGTGACGAGTCGTGAGGCTCTTTTTCCTTTGGCTCACGAATCTTGAATCGTGAATACATTCCGACTTTGATCGTATCGGCAGAGAAGGAAGATCTGTATCGAAATGTCTCAGCAAGTACTGGAGGACGCACTAAATGAAGCCAGCATAGAAATTGGACGGATTCCCAACGGGCCAAAAGACCAGAGCCGAGTTGATTCCGGCAGGGCGACAAGCCCGAGTCAGGAGCCGCTCGAAAGACACGCGAGCGTCATTTCTAGGCAACGTCGAGCGACTCGCTGCAATGCTTGCTCTCAAGGCCTTTCACCAACACTTCACAACAGGTAACAGATGCAAAATGCCTTGCGAAGCTCAAAGATGCGTTGATGGGCGCATGCAGGCGGGCCCGAAACACATACGTGTTGAGTGATGGCCAAATCGCACGGCAGTAGTGGTATTTCGGCGCGTCCGATGATGAATCGTCTGACATTATGTGCGGGGCCTCTTGGCCTTCGACGCTTTGCTGACTCGCGCCTTGAACGGAGCGCTTGGGCGTCGCTCCTCCTCCTCCTCCTCCTCCACTTCATCGCTCTCATCGCTGTAATCTCCGGTGATCTCGATCGGTGACAAATCACTGTCATCCTCCTCATCGTCATCTCCATCCAGCTCCAATTGCTCCTCTTCGTCTACCTGGTCATCCTCATCCACATCAAAATCCTCCTCCTCATCGAACAAATCTTGATCTGCAGGAGCATGTGCGTCCTCGTACGCGAATTCGTCATCGTGCTCTTCTTGCTCGCTGTTCGACCCACTAGCACCGTCTGCCTTCTCATCTGATTCGTCCTCGCCGTCTTCAGCACCCCGAGCACCTCTGCGCCCAGACAGACTCCTTCCTTCCTTCTCTTTCTTTTTGCGCTCCACATTTGCTTCCTGCTCTGCCCGTCGAGCCGCTCGAAGCGACTGCTTCTCTGCATTGCTTTTAGCAGCCGCACGCTTTTCTTGAGCGCTTTTCTTGACTGCAAGGTGCGAATACGACCAAAGACACAATGTCAGGAAGTGGTAAAAGTAAAACAGCATCGACGCAACGCACCATAGTCGTGCCACAGCACATTTCCTTGGGGGGCGCCTTTCCTCTCGGCACCAGGGATGCCCTCCTGAATCTTGATGCATTTCAGCTCGATCCGAGGTCCCAATTCCTTGAGCCTGACTGCTCTTTTCTGCCCTTCGAGATTTCCTCTACCAACATACCTGGCGGGCAGCTCGACATGATTGGACGCCATTGCGCCCTCTTCCACCTCCGAATCCTCTGCTTCGCTGTCTGACCCTGCAGCCGACGAGGCGTCCGTCTCGAAGCCGGAGCTAGCTCCACTAGAGCCTGCGCGCTCCCCTCTTCCGAGCAAGTAAGAGCTTATGTCTTGGGCATTGCTCAGGTCGGGGATCTTGCCTCCCTTTATCCCACCTGTCGACTTGGACGATGTACCCTCAATGACCCTCCGCACCTTTTTGCTGACGCCGACCGGTCGCACCGTGATCAGGTAATGACGCCAATCGATTGTGCCGGTGGCATCGTCGTAGGAGAGCAACACAATGCGTCTGGCTGAGGAGAGAGCCATGCGTTGGACGTTGATAGGTGGAAATAGTCCCTGAAACATGCTGACCAGCAGCTGAATGTGTTGTTCTTGGGATGAAAAGTTGTTCATGACGAGCTAGCGTCGAAGCGGCGTCGAAGGCCGGTCAGCGAGCCCAACGCAACCTCCTCGTCCTTTGTCGACTTACCAGAGGTGGCGTCGTAAATTCACCTCCCGGACTGTGAGGTCTCTTGAGAGCGCTAGCAACATCCCTAGCCAACGCAAACTTGTTGACTCTGAATGTGCATGTGGGTCCCTTGGGCGATCGGGCAACCCGAAGGTTGAGGTTTGCTCGAGAGGTACCCTTATCCGGTTGACTTAGAAGTAAGAGATGGGAGACGCCCAGAGGTCCCGCCATGGAGACGAAATCCCGCAACTTGTTGCTTCTGCGCTCCTGCGAAATGACATGGTGGCACAGCAGCCGTCAGCAAGCTTGAGAACGCAAACGGGACAGCTGGACGAGGAGTGTGCCCTTCCCGCGAGACACACTCCTTTTAGATCCCGCGCGCTGAAGGTGATCGAACTCCCTAGTCGGACGGCCGGGCTAGCAGATACTCAGTGGACGCGTGCACCAGTCCAAAACTCACTCTCAATCGACTAGCAGTGTTCGGTTCCAGGACTCGTCTGATATCAGTCACCAGGGCCGATGCGCTCCTACCGACCTTGCCCGCCCTGATGACGAAGCTTTTAGGCCCAGATGTCGCCGAAGCTGCCGAGTTGGTCGGCTGGCGGCACGAGCGAGGAGGGATATCATCAGCACTTTTACTCCATATGCCGATAATGATGCACTACTGACAGCCTTGACATGCGTGCGTGACTTTCTTCTCCGCTTGGCCATCCTAGGCACTGTTGTGTGGGTCGAGACTGGTCAGAGGCTTAGAAGCCCCTTTCTTGCGTGCTCCTAGCCAGGCTGACTGGAGTGTACCTAGCCGCTCTCGCGCAGAGACGCAAATTTCTGGTAATCTGAAAAGGTGCTGGAGAGGGTGGTGCACAAACGTCGCGAGTCATGAGGATGAGAATGATGGCTAAGCCTCTGGTGCCTATATGCACTTCGACCCACGAATCGTGAATCCCAAATCACAAATCAATGTTTCCCGCTTCCAAAAATTGCGCGGTGGAGCGCGTCTCGTGCGAGAAGCGCCGCATCATATGACACGTGACTATGGGGATACCAAGACCACTCGCCGCCCACACCACACTTGACTACAGTCACAATCAAGAATTGAAAGTGGTAGTATGCACACACTCATCATGACGAGCATCTGCATCGCCTACTTATAGTCCGTGACTCCTTTGATCTCAAAAGGCGTACACAGCTCCCTCCGCACGATTTCAAGCCCTTTCAAGCAGAGGGAAGCATGTGCGAGGTGCTCTGATTGGTGATCAAGATACAAAGCGAGAGTGGATCTGACTGATGACAATCTCCAGGATTGCGGTTACGTGGATGCGGGGGAAGAGACGAGAATAGATACGAGTCGTGCTGTCAAGACAAGACGGAAACGGAAGCGTCTTTGCTGTCATGTTGAACGCCGGCTCAACATTCGCAAGAAGTGCCGGACGCAACGAGTTGGTAGTGTGTAAGAATGCGATGGAACGACGTACACGCTCGATGATAGAGTGGTGCTGCGGCTCCAAGAGTCGATGCGTCATCTCGCGGTGTTCAGGGGAGCGGATGCTCGCCATCCTCTTCGTACGACTCGGGAGCTGCAGGAATGGCAAATGGAGATACACGGCCGAGTTCAGCGCAAGGACTGGGGTTCCTCCAAGAGAGACGGACCCTCGCAAAAAGGAGATACTCACGGTGCCGAGCTTGCTCCTTCGCCCACTCGATGCGCTCCAATTTCTGCTTGTACTTTTGATCCTTCTCCGAGAGATGAGAGCGCTCCTGAGGTTTTTCTGCCCAAAAATTCGGTCGGACGAGCATCTTGTTCTCTCCCTCGCTGTGGTCCGCATGTCTCCGCGACATGGATCGCTTGCTACAACCAGATCTTCTTCTGTGAGGATCGGAAGCAGCCGTGCTTCCTTGAGCAGGCGTCCCGACGTGTACCTCAGGAGAGTCAAAATGCAGCGCTTGATTCGGTTTGATGCCGAGATGCACCTTGGGAATGTTCGTGGCTGCTACATTGTTGTTCAATTCGGGAGACGCGCTGTCTTGGTCCAGATCGACTGGCGTACCAATGTGGATTTTGGGCACCTCGGCGGAAGGCTCAGGGTTTGAAGACGAGGCATGGACAGCTGCGGAAGCGAGCGCCGTGGTCAAAACGACGACAAAGACGGATATGCCTGCGCTACGCATAGTGTCAGCAGCTTAGAGTCGATTAGAGCGATCGAGCAAGGTTGTATGTCGCGAAGAGGGGAAGAGGACGTTTTGTGAATCAGTACCTGCTGAGCGGGAAAGGTTGGAGAGGCGGAGTGAGCTGCGTTCGAGTGTGACGGGCGATCATCAGAGTGGCCTCTTCAAGAGCCGCGATTCGTGATTGTGCTTATGAGTCGTTGTTGTCAGGAGCGTGGTCCTTCTTGGCAGATCCTCTACCGAATAACGGAGTGGTGACTATTTGGGGCAGTCAGGGGCGAGTCGTAGCACTGATGACAGTCGGCCACGGGTGAGTTGTGAACTCAGCCGGTATGACCACCACTAGGAAGCCTCAGACATGTCGAGTGGGCCCACCTTCACCAACTACTTCTGCAACTGACGCACTCGAGCCGTCGCGCGCACATTCTCCACAGCAGCACAAGCGGGATTTGTGCCTTTTCATGAACCATTTGCAGCACAATCCATCTGTCATTCGATCCCAACGTCACCTGGCGGCCTACCAGGGAATCCCTTGTCTGGTGGTGCTGCTCCCCTCGGTGACTTGGGCCGCTCGCTACCCACGATTTCTTAGAATAGCATCTTGGTCACCTCGGCAAGGGCTGTGCATGCGTGCGGAGAAGGCCGGCAGCAGCCCATGCCTACCGAGTCGTGAGTCCTCGGCAGCAACAGAACGCACCACTTGACCCGTGTCCCCTGCATGCTTCTGTGGCAGCCGTCACCCTCATTTAGGAACATGATGCATACGTGCATACCGGCACAGTGATTTGAGGGCTACTGACTGGCTACACCTTGCAGCACAGCTGTGTGCATGCAGCTGCAGGGAGTCAACATGTTTGTGATTTGAGCGCTTTGACCGCCGGCAACTTGCTGACGGACCGCATCGTTTAGCGCACATGCTATGCGATCGAGTGAAAAGGTGCGAGCTCCATCATGACTCACACTTGACTTGACACACGACCTTGGCCAGCAACATGCCCTCTGCTATCTACAGGTTTCTGCGGCCTCCTTAACTCACGCAGAGGACGGCTCGTGCATGCACACTCAATTTGACCAACGGACGGTCACTCGACCCTCATTCACATGTCGCACTCAAACTCGACAACACTGATGAGTCAAAAATAACTCGTGACTTCATTTGAAGTACCCTTTCCGCATCTCATCTGTTGTCAGAAACAGATGACCCTACAGCTAATTTGAACAGATCGACAATTTCTACACAGAAATGATGACGCAACGCAACGCAAATGTGACTGTTGAGCACTCTCGACTCGACACAGTCTTGATACGTGATCCAAGATGAGATTCGCATTTTGTGACAATGATTCACAATTCTGAACCTTTTCGGACCTCTCGTGTCAAGATGCCATAGACGTGCACTCGGGTAACGACATGCATAGGAGCTGCAGCAATATCTGTGGAGCTTGAAGTGATGTCGAGAATCACACGAGGCAGCGTTGATGACCTCGTGAGTCTCGCGTCGAGCAATTCCTCGACGATGGTAGAGTCATGATCGTCCTGATCTTCACTCCTCATTGTCAACTTGGCATACGACTCGGACTGATCGTGTCCAATCAGGACGCATAGTATCCGTGGGTCCAAGCAGAGCGTGATAGAAGTTTCAAGAGTACCGCGCATAGGTGTGTCAAGAGAGCTTCAACCCGGCGCTGATTCTCGACAGGACCGCGATCACCGAGTCGCCTCAAGACACGATGCATGTCACTACACAGTCAACGACGGCTCATGAGAGCGTGGGCACGAAGCACAGGCTCTGCCTCCTGGTCAGGAAATAGGGTGCTACTATGATCACGCGATGGAAAGCCACATAGCAGCAGGATGCCGATGCAGACACTGCCTGCGGCGCGGCGCGGGGTCGAGGCCTGCACATCCTGAGAAGGAGGCAAGCCGACAGTTGCTGACTGGTGCACACGTCGTCAAGTCTCCTGGATCATCGCAATTACCAGCGGCTTCCCTCGCATGAATGGCGTCTTGATCAGATATCAGAAGCAGGGCGTGTCAAAGGCTGCCCAGTCCCCTTCACCTCAAGGGTCGGTGCGCACTAAAAGGCCGCATCGTTTCCCCTTGAATAGCGGTTGAAGCGCAGCAAATTGGCGCAGGGATGGCTTCCGACCGTCTCCATTCAAGGCAGCGAATGGAACAGAGCAGCCTTGGCACAGCGTGCAAGGCCCTCACAATGCACAGCATACGGCATCCCGCTGCACAAAGGTGACATCGGATCGCTGCCCTCTTGAGCACTCGCGAGACCTCAGACTCACCTCCCGAAGCAGCTGACCGAGCGCTGGAAGAGTGCAGAAGCCTGTCTTGACTTTTCGAGGGTCGATACTCTTGACTGTCATCCTCTCCTCTGCCTTACGGCTGCCAAGTCGCGCCAATGGCCGACTGAGCACCTTGCCTTGCGGGCTAGCTTGCGGCACGCGGGAAAGCGAACTTCACCATGCCTGTTTTCAGAGACAACATTCCTCATTCGCCCCGAGAAGCATGTCCAGAGCGCACTACCAGCGAGTCCTGGAGTGAGCTGTACGGTTCACGACGCCTTTCGAGCCCTCGATGAGGCCTCCTCGAAATAGCATCGTCAACTCTGCTCCGACCATGGCGCTCTGCCAGACCTGCGTTGCTCACGAAGGCCTGAACTCCTGCCTGGTCTTCCCAGTCGTGCACTGCCTCCACCAGCGTCGGTCGCATCGTCCAACAAGGATAGTAGTGGCCTCAGAAAGTCTCCATGAATAGCCACTTCGACGCGGCACAATTATTCTTTGAGGTGCCAATCATGGACAGCCATCCTTCTCGCTGAGGTTCCTGCGGGATAATTGTGCAAGACACCGTAGCATTGTGCAACTTGAGTGTTTGGAATAGGCTTGGTCCGCGATTTTCGCTCTTGCTCTAGTGGCTTCAATAAAGGTACAAAAGGCTCGCTCTTCGCGAGTCAGCGTCAGCCCTCGCCTTCATCCATCCACTGTTCCACCTTCTCCCACCAACCACCTCAATATCATACAGCCGTCAATCTGGTCATTGACGACAATCACATTTCCGCATATCCGCAAATCACGGACAGCCTGCATCAGAATGCGTCTTCCAATCACCGTCTCTCTCCTCGCCCTAGCACTCGTGCTGGCAACGAGTGCCACAGCACATAACAGCGCTCCGGGAGGTGTTCCTGTCCGTCCCAAATATGACGGTATCTCCGTTCCAGCAGGCGCTCATCACGCGCCGCTAAAGGGCAGCGATCACAAGCAACACTTGTCTGCCAGAGCTCTCAAGCAAGCTGGATCCCACAACAACCCGACCAACGCGTACCAATCCGATCAGCTGCTCGACGCCGCTCAGCAGAACGGGCGCGCTCACCCTCCACACGAGCGTGCCGAAGAGGTTCCCGGCGAAGTTCACCCTTCGTCTGCCCCATCAGAGCAGGGTCATGGTGGGAAACCACCCTCGTGGAAGCACGATAGCAAGCCTCCGTCAGACCCCCCTCCTGAAGAAAACGGTCTCAACGCGCGGGACGCCTCTGGTGAACCGGAGAAGGCAAATCACGAACATCAAAACAACCATCACGGTGCCAAAGGAAGCAACCGCCATCCAAAAGCTCCGCCAATCGGCCCATCAGGGACCAAAGCACTTCGTCCGACAGAGCGCGACGAGCATCAAGATGCTGACGAGCCGAAGCATGACCCTGATCAATCCGGAGACGGGTCTCCGATCAACAAGCCGCCTGATGCTCCGAAGCCCCCTGGTCAGCCACCAAAGCAATATCGAAAGAATGGCTCCAAGGCCCACACCCGTTCAAATAAGGAAGCTACTGGTGACGGTGACCAACTCCAAGAAGACGCACATGAAGCTCATCTTGCCGAAAAGCCCCACTCTCCTCCGCTCGAGGGCGGAAAGCGACCTGAAAATGCCAAACCTGCAAGGCAGCCGGATGGCGCACCAGAGCGCCCCCAAGCACGCTCGGATGAAGTCAAACAAGGTGACAAAGAGGACAACGGCAAGAATTGGCCAAGGCCAAAGGCACCCAAAGGTGCAAAGCCCAGCGGTCAACCTCGCCCTGTACCAACCAAAGATGCCGCAAAGGGCGGCAAAGGCAAAGCTCGGCAAAAGTCTGGAGATGATCAAGCCGAGAAGCGTCACGAGAAGACGTCATACGACGAGGAGCATGCTGGGTCTGCTCCACCCACCAAGCCGGATCATCATCCAAAGAGACCCACCGGCGGCGCCGGACGCCCACCAAAGCCTGCCTCTCAACGTCGAGGGATCGAACAAGATGAAGATCGCACGAATGAAGAGTCGCAGCGTCCAGATGCTGGGAGAGCCAAGCGCAAAAGCCCTCCCCCGCCGTCAAAGGGATTTCAGCCTGCTGCCCGCGATCACGTAAATCAGGAGCACGGACATGAAAAAAAGCCTAAAGACCCTCTCGTCAAGTCTGTGCCGGCTGCTCAGAAGCAAGATGGTCCAAAGCACGGTAAGGGTCAGAAACCAGCAAAGGTAAGACGCGTGCCTTTTGGCAAGCCGTCTCAAGCGCGAATTTAGATCCTCCCGCTCGTGCGGTGTCGGTCTCGTGCAATGGACCAATGCCGATGCACAGCTTCGCGATTCAATCACCTCCTCTCATGTCTGCGAGCTGGCTCGCTCCTAAATTAAGCACCATTTTGACTGCTCCTGTTCCAATCCTTCCAATTGTGGCTAATGAATCACGAGCTGGCCTTGTCATGACATACTTGTCTGTAGTGATGCCTCTGGTCCTGCGCTGCAACCTTACTGCGTGTTCTCTTCCGCCTTTGCAAGTCGCACAAGGATGATGTTGCTGAGGATGAGATTCGCAGTGAGTCAAGAGACGGAGCATTGATTGCCATACACATAGGTCGCCTAGGCCATTTCGTCTTGCCAATGCTCTCCTATCTGATTTATTCCTCTTTCGTATCTCCGCCGTCCTTCATGTGCCGCAAAGCCAAGAGCAGCGATAAAGAGCAGGAGCGCGAGATCTGCAAAAGCGAGTGCCTGCGTCTGAAAGACGCCCTGAAGAGGTGGAAAGTAGACGAGGAGAAATTGGGTGAACAATGATGCAGAGATGGTCAACGTCAACATCTTGTTGCCGTTCAGCGGTGTTGATAGTCCTCTGTTCTGGATTGCCGACGTCAAATCCAGCAAGACGAAGCATGTGAACGTCTGCGCGCAGGAGAAGGCGCGAAGCGGTCAGCCTCGACCCAATCTGATCATCTCGATCGACTCGAGTGGTTAATGACTCACCATGGTCTGATCTCTCTGATCAGCAAACCCATCTTGAAGTTCGTGGACATAGACCCACAGAGTACCCACAACAATGATGCTAGCCGAGAAGCATATTCTGGCAATCAATCTTTGAGTGACGATGGGCGCCGTCTTAGATCTGGGCGGTCTCAGCATGACACCAGGATCCACAGGGTCCACTCCGAGGCTTTGGGAAGGAGGTCCGTCCATAAGGATATTGATAAAGAGGATTTGCATGGGATTCAGCGGAAGTTTGAGACCGAAAGCTGTGCACAGAGTGATCAGCGTCAGAGCTGCGACTGCAGTCGACAGCTGAAAGCTAAGGAAGTTCTGAATATTGAAGAATATTCCTTTGCCTAGTTGCAAGTCACGCATCGGTAAGCAAGACCCATGTCAGTCAGCGTGCGTGCTGAATGAGGTCATACCACTCTGACACTACTCACCCTCCTCCACGGCGGGCAAAATGGTGGCAAAGTTGTCGTGCACCAGTATCACGTCAGCCGCCTCCTTTGCCACATCTGTACCTCCTTGACCCATCGAAATGCCAATGTCGGCTTGTTTCAAGCTCGGGGCGTCATTGACACCGTCGCCAGTCATAGCGACCACGTTTCCTTTTTCCTGGAAAGCCTTGACGATAGACATCTTGTGCCTCGGTGTGGTCCTAGCAAAGACAGCTACGTTTCCTATCCTCTCCTCAAGCTGAGATCCGGATAGCTGATCGATCTGCTTGCCAGTCATGACGCTGGAAGCTGTCGATGATCCTCGCAGAATACCGATTTGACGCGCGATGGCGACCGCTGTGGACTCCGAGTCTCCTGTGATCATGACGACGCTGACCCCGCCTCTGGACAGTGCAGCAACTGCTTCTTGCACGCCAGGTCTAGGAGGGTCCTGCATAGCTGCAAGAGCACAGAAAGTCAAGCTTTTGTTCTCATGTGCGTTGTTTGTTGAGCCAACTGCAGTAGCGAGGACTCTCAAGCCCAGACCAGCAAGCTCCTGCGCTGCATCTGCAATTCGTTTTCTCGCTTGGTCGTCTAGATTGACTCTTCTTCCTTGTGTGCCCATGTAGGTAGCACATCGGTCCAGGATCACCTCTAAGGCGCCCTTCACGAAAGTGATCTCATCCGCCTTGCCTCCTGCCGCGGATGGCAGGTTGCCGACTACAGCCATGAATTTGGTTTCCGAGTCAAAGGGCACCTCGTGAGAAATTTGAAAGTAGGGCCTCTTGTCCTCGAGAGAGAATAACGCTAGAACATCAACCATAGCTACGTCCGTAGCTTGCCCGACGAAGTGCCCATTCGAATCTCTGTGGGAGTTGTTGCACAAATTGCCAACTAACAGGCTCCGTTGCAAAGCTTCCGACGGTTTGTGTGGAATTTCCTTATTCAGGTCGATCTGACCGTCTTCGAACGTGAATGCGCGCACGACGGCCATCTGATTGCAGGTTAGAGTTCCCGTCTTGTCGGAGCAAATGACCGACACGCAGCCCAAAGTTTCCACACATGGCAAGCGCTTCACGATCGCTTTTCGCTTGGACATGCGAAGCACACCGAGGGCCAGAGTGACTGTGACCACGATTGGCAATCCTTCTGGAATGGCCGCGACCGCTAATGAAACTGGGAGTGCCAAAGGGAATCCGGGAAGAGCTCAATTCGTCTTCTCTATAAAGGTGGGCGCCTGGAACCGGCGTTGGTCGAGTCCTTCTACTTACCTCCAATTGTGAACATCTCCAACCAGGGCTTGCTCTGCAGTACTCCCATAATGCAGATCACCCCAATGATGGCAAAGCTGATCAAGCTCAGCTTCTGTGCAAGTTCGTCCATACTGAGTTGCAGAGGCGTCCTCTTCTCAGTGACTTCGTCCACCATGCTGAAAATCATACCGAATTCGGTGCGAGCTCCTGTTCCTATGACAATGCCTCGCCCATACCCTGACGATCCAGATTTGGCCATGAATTTTATGGTGTTAGTGATGACGATGACCTTGCGCACCACCTGAAAGAAGACAAGCTCACCACTTTTGACCAGAGTGCCCATGAACGCAATGTTGTCTCTATCCGCGATGGCAACGTCAGACCCGTCCGCACTCCTGGGAATTACCTCTGCAACTTTCCGCCTAGGCCTCGTCTCTCCAGTCAGCGTGCTTTCGTCGATCTCGAGAGCTACCGAGTGAGCTATCCTGATATCAGCTGGGATTCTATCACCGGTTGAAAAGGTAACTAGATCTCCAGGAACAAGCTCGTTGGCTAGTACGGTGGTCTGAACATTGTCTCTGATTAGGTGAGCGTAGTGCGGAACCAGCTTGTTCAATGCTTCCAGTGAAGCTTCCGACCTTTGCTCCTGCACAAATGCGACTGATTTGCGCATGATAAGACCCCACCTTCAGCTCGATTCCTCACACAGCGTCAGATCCGCGTATGCGCGTCGTTCGAAACTCACCGGAGATGACTATGACGACGGCGATGGTGATGCTTACAGCATCGTCCCATTCTCGCATGAATGCGCTCACTGCAGCGCTGCCCATCAAAAGCAAGATCAAGGGTTCCTTGAACTGATCCAAGAACTTCCTCCAGGGCGGATCGGATGCCTTGACTGTGAATTCGTTTGGCCCTCCTGCCCTCGTCCTAGCTGACTCCACTGCGCCCGAGGACGCCGAGAGTCCTGTCTCCAGCGACGTACCGAGGGAGTGTAGGATAGCAGCGATGGATTCGTGTGTGTAGTGCAGCGAGGCCGAGCTTGAAGAGGGCTGTGGAGCAGGCGGGTATGACGCACGCCCTGCCTCTTCTCCATGGATCGATGCTTTCAGAGATGTGCATCATTGATGAGGCCGCCTGTCAGCATTCAGGGCATGCCGCATAGTGTAGTCGCGCTGATGAGTGTCACCTACCTTTCCGTAGTGTTGTGGAGAATTGAAACTGGTCAGCCGTATCGGGTTGCTCGGCGTACAATTTGGCGGTGCTTGGACCAGGCGTGGCCACATTTGCCGCGTATGCATGCGCCATACCTGGCGCAGACGAAGGTGGAGAGGAGAACCACTGTGCTGTGTTTGGCGGTGAGAATGGAGCCTGAGAAGGAGCAGCAGCAGCAGAGGTGTAGCTCGCGTATTGCACCGTCTTCTCCTTGTATGCGCTCGCATCGTCAATAGGCGGTGATGAAGAGCGCTTGGGAGGTGGTCCGCTACTTGGTGCCTTGCCTTTGGAGCCGTATGACATTGTCGGCTCAGCTCGGGTCGCTCCAACAGACCAAGGGCTGTGCAACCTCGCGTACTCTTCTCGGTGTCTATTCTAGCTTCGTGGGCATAGTCGCTAAGTCTTGGAAGAGCCTTGCTTCTCTGCGGAATTCAGAGCACAATACGGAATTGAGGGTTGCGCTGTGAGTCGTTGGCCGAATGTCAGTGGAGGAGCCTCTGATTGACAGTCGTGAGTTTGGAATCAAGAAGCTCGCCATCTCATCCAATTGTGCTTTGGACCGCCCACCCACTCACGACTCAAAGACTCCGACACCTCTGCATGCGCGTGGACACGTATGCCAAGGCGCGGTGACCCTGTTGGGTGGGAGACAGTCACGTGAAACGCTAGCCTGAGCAAATCTTCGCGTGTTGATCAGCGCGACCTCCACTCAAAGACAAACGATCCTTCCGACTAATCTGAGTCGCAACCACGTCCGCCTGATCAAGCCACCCCTCCCTCGCAGACTTGACGCCAAAGCGTATCCTGTCAACCGGCTCAACTCGCTCATATCACCGCAGACCGGGACCTTCCAGTCCAGAGACAATCACGTCCCAGGACAAGGTTGAACATGTGGGTCACGCCGCGAGTCGCGCAACGAGCTATGGGTGCGCTTGTTCAAATCCGGCCAACAAGGTCAGCATCGACGTGCAGCTTCCTGAAAGCTCGAGCAATGCGCTCTTCGTCGATTTTGCCTGTCGAAACGGCATCTCGGGAGTTTGAATGCAGGTCTAGGAGCTCCGGAAACGGCTTCAATGACACCCTGAAGCTGACGCCCAACGTCGAAGGGATCCGTCACAAATCCAAAAAGTCCACAACGAAGAAAACGAACGCGACAGTGCCAGCTTCCGAGGATGGACCGGCCGGAGCATCAGAAAGTCGAAAAGGCTCTTCAGGATCCAAATCCTTCAACGTAGGTGGCGTGAACAGCAAAAAGAGAAGCGCTTCTGGTCGAACAGAGGAGGACTGGAACGAGGTTTTGGATACTGAGGAAGCTTTCGATGCTGATCAAGTGCGAGAGAATATGAGCAGAAGCGTCAAAAGGGCCAAAGATACCGTAGCCCAAATGGTGGGAAGCTTTGGAAGAGTCGACCCCGGTCAGTGCAGTGGAACTGGCAATGGCATCAGCTTCGACTTGATGTGGGATGTATGCGCATCCATAGCTGATCATATTCGTCGTGTCTACATCATCCAGCACTCCTCGACCCCGTCCGCGTGCCTCTTTCTGGAACTGGAACCTCAAAGGGTGAAGACTATCCCTTGAGAGAGGTGGCCACAGTGGGCGTTCGCGATGGGGCGCTGCTCGTTACTTGTTTCGATCCAGAGGTGAGCACAAGGATGATTTCAAGGCAAGCTCACAGCATTTCGTCTGACAAGTAGCATACATACACTACTCGCGATGCCCTCTCGCTATTGCAGTACGTCAAGGCTGTTGAGCGAGGACTCTACATGGCGGATCTAGGCTTGACGCCGCAACAAACGGGCGAGGAGGGTGTCCTCCGCATTCCAGTTCCGCAGTAAGTCCCATTTCGTGGTCAGGCGCGCATCAGCTGATTCGAGCACACAATCCACTGCTCTCGTGGATTTTGTGGTGCCTCAGACCGAACACGGAATCCCGGCAAAATCTTCTCAAACAGATCTCAAATATTTGCGAGAATGCCAGGACGTCGATACGATCTGCACGGCACATAGCTCAGAAGAAGATCAGAGCAGACGAGAAGAACAAAGTGGTTGGAACAGAGATCGGTAGGAACGATCAGAAATCCGTAAGTTGTTGCCAATGTCAGCCGTCTGTGCCCATCTTTTGCTGGTCAGGCATGCGCAGCGCTTCGCGATGACTTCGAAAAGAGTGTTGCGCAGGGTCTAGTGACCGCGACTAGAACAGTCGATGCTGATCCGGCCTCTCTCATCCTCTCGTCTGCTTTTTAGCTTGACGAAACAACCAAAAAGTTCACCGCTGAGGTGGACACCGTCTTTGAACAGACCAAGAAGAAGCTTGAGAAAGATGGCTTGTGAGGCGAGCGACAGATGAGCGTGTACCGCGCCGTGCATCTCCACCAAAAGCGCATGCGCATCGAGTCGAGGATGCAAAATGTTAGATCAGTTTGATGTTGTATTGCACAATGTGGAGATGAAAGCGGCATACTCGACGCTGGAAATTGCAGGACTGAGGAAGCTTGGAAGCTCAAAGCGGCGCTGATGAGTCAAGCAGGCGCAGAGCTCTGCATCTCCAAAGCGGCGGGCTCGCTCATCTTGACAGCTTCCACAACTGCAACGCGGCGATGGTCGAGAGGAGGTAGGCATCGTCAGTCGGCACGTCAGTGGGATGTCTTCTCATAGTGCTAGGCTGCTCGCATGCGCTTGTATGCGAATGACGGCCGCCTCTGATACTTGTGTGCCTCATCTCGGAGATTCACTCACAAGCTTTGTAGTCAAACTTGCGTCCTGCGCGATCCAAAAATGGACCGGATATGAGACGGTCGATCTGATGGAGCAAGCGATGTTTGTCAGCTTCGACATCTCGCCACATCGTCTTGTTGACTTCTCGGCGACGCTTCTCTGGGACGCTGAACGCAGGAGTAAGAAGAGCACGGTTGCAGCCGCGCGATGCGCCCAGCCTCAAAGGGTAACCATGTCCACACGCCTGGCAGACGCCATCGTAGTCGCCCGCAGTCCGGCCCAGAGCTGCGCTTCTTCAAGCCGGTCGTCTCGCGAGATGAATCCGGACTATTCCCTGCTTGCTACCCGCTTTATCGGACATGAAACACTCACCTCTTCGTCCGTCATCTTGTTTCCCACTTCTGCGAGCCAATATCTGAGCTCCCCACTCTCTATGCTACCTTCGTCCCTCTCGTCGAAGCACTCGAAAGCCGACAAGAGGTCAGAAGCCTCGTCGAGCTGGATGTGGGCAGATATTTCCACAAGATAAGTACCCTTGCTTGCATGGGTCGATTGCACCGAATGCCTTCATTCCGCAGAACATCCAGCATCCCCCGCTCACCTCGTCCAAATGTTCTCCAAACATGGTCAAGAATTGCGTGAAGTTGATCCTTCCTTGCGCATCGGTATTAGCGCTGCTCAATAATTTCCTCACATCCTCTTCCTCGTTCCTCATTCCCAAATCTCCTAGCACCCTCTTCAGATCGTTGGCATCCAAAAACCCATCCGACGACGAATCGTCCAGCATGGAAAAAGCTTCTCTGAATCCGTGAATCTGTTTGGCTGAAAATGTGCTGTATACACCGGATGATTGGCGTGGATGGCGCGTGCTTGTGCCCCGAGCCCTGGTTCCTGCTTGAAGCAGCGTGGCTCCCGGTGGCCCGCTGGATGACATGATGAAGAGCTTTGTGAGCGTGTCGAACCCACGATTGCCCCGGTCGTCAGACGGATCGAAATGATGTTCGAAGCGAGAAAAGTGTTTAGCCCAAGTGATCCTTGGAAACAAATTCGCGTACGTGCAGCGCTTCGTGTGGAGGGAGACAATGACAAGCTGATTCAAAGTCAAAGTCTCGATGAGTGTTGAATTGAGTTGGAGGAGCGTGTCCAGGATAGGGGGTCTCGCGTCGCAACCTACGTATCTGACTTCTATATAGCATGCACCGCCCCCACGCGCGCTGCCGAGCTTCAGCTATAGCCTGCCCATGCATATCCATAGCGCACCCATGCACGTGACCTTCCCAGAAGAGCGCCCAACAGTCAAGGTCGTGAGTCGAGGACCATGAATCGCGCTCACGCTCGCGCACACGCATAAGGCAGCGCTGGGTGTTGTCTCACGCGCATGCAAATCTTGAATACAGTATCCCGGCCGCGTGCGAATGTGCCTCGCATCCACACCCGCTGCTGTATCCACGCAAGCAAGCACCGCGCGAACATCAGCAACGCACACGCGCACGCGGCGGCGGGTGCGGTGGGTGCATGCAGCACGGATGATGCATGCTGCGTGTGCGTGTGCGTGCACTTTGACTGTCGCTTTTCACTGCATGTGATCCACTCGCACGCTTCTCCCCGCGGCCAGTGCATGGACCTGGAACGGCTTCGTCGAGATTAAGTGCATGCTAGTTGACACAGCAGCACTCTCTCCCTCCTCGATTCAATCGATCAAATCCGCCCCATCCAACTTCTTCCATCCCGACATCATCCGTGGTCATCGAGCCATTACCGCGCATTCATCTCGACTTTTGACTTACCCTTTCGGCCACATACTACTCTCTCTCCGGGCGAACGCGGCGAATCTGGCATTATCCGAGTTGCACGGCAGCACTGTCCTGTTGCACCTCGAAAGCATTCGAGCCTGCTCTGCTAAGATTCAGCACATCGCGCTGCGCGAGCCTGAACACCTGTCGTCAAATACGATACAACTCACATTGGGCCAGTAGCATACCACCTGAAGGGTAGCGGAAGCCATCGGGCAGAGATTGGCTGCTGTCCCATCCTAGAAGCTCAGGTAGCATCGAAAGCAGAGTCGTTGCGATCAACATGAGCTATCATCCATTCAGCGATAGCACGGAGGCGAGCAGTAGTGGTGGTATTGGAGGAGCATCTACAATATCGTCCACGGTGGATAGTGTCATGACGGGACGACCTTCGATGAACTCTCATCGATCTTCACATTCTCAAGATTTGACATTCAAGAGCGCAACAGGAGCAGGAGCGCATCCTGGCGCGGCAGGAGCCAGTCTGTTTGGACCTTCGTCTCCTTCCACCGACATCTTGAACGGATCAGGCACCCTTCAAGGATCCATCTCTCCTCACGCACAGCATCCGCTCAGTCCAAGCGGCAGTACGCTGAGCGGGACCAACACGATCGGAGTATCCAAGACTTCAGCCTCTCACGATGAACAGGTCTTGGCAGCTTTACCAATCTCGACTTCCTTCGATGAAGCTACACTGCGGGCCTTGTGCGATATGGAGTGCGGAACACCTCTGTTGTATGATAGGATCAAACAGTCCATCATCAGTGCTCAAGCTACCTCTACATTTTTTAAGAAGAGGGCAACGATCGAAGAGGACTACGCGAGGAGCTTGATGAAGCTGTCCAGATCAACCGCAGAGAGCTATGCAGCCGGCGAAGGCAAGGCTGGGTGAGTTGCAAGGTGGAGGGCCCTGCAAAAGGTGCACGCTGTGCTCGCGATGCTGGCGAGGAGGAGGTTTGCTGCGGGCCGCGCCTGCATACAGGCGCGGCAAGGGATTCCATCCAATCCACAAGCGCCATGAGCCGCGCGTGGTGCAGTGAAAATCTCAGTGCACCCATCGCTCCTCAGGTGGCGCACACGTCGGAGGAGCGAAGTGTACTGTGCCGATACTCGCACGCTAACATTCTCATTTGTGCCCTATGCCAGTACCTTTGTCTCCTCATGGCAGCACATGATGCGCACGCATGATCAGCTTGGAGAGAATAGATTGCGATTCGCAGTCAAGTTGGGCGAGATGAGCGAAGAGCTAGCTACGTTGAGCAAAGAGGTGGACAAGAATCGCAAGCAGGTGAGCACTTTCGGCGAGGCTGTGGGCAAGATCCCTGCAGGACGGGACTGACTGTCAATTGGACCTGCTGGCTGCCCGTTTTGCTAGGCTCGAGAAACCGGGTTGCGGCTGGAGCGAAATTTGCAAGATTCGGAAGCGAGCGTGGAAAAGGCTCGCACGCGATTCGATGCTACGGCCGAAGATCTGGAGAGGTTGCTCCTGCTCAAGTCGGGCGAGTCGACCAAGTCAGGCGAAATACAGTCGTCTGGCCCCCCAGGCAAGAGGACGCTGGGAAAAGCTATTGGCAAGAGCGGCCTGCTGTTCAAAAACAAGAATCCGCAACAGATCTTGAAACAGGAGGAAGATATTCGAAGCAGGACTTCGACGGCGAGCGATGCGTTTAGGAAAGAGGTTCTGGCCACGCAGGGCGTCAGGCAGGAATACTTTAATCTGCAGTTGCCGAGGATTTTAAGGGTGCGTACACGCACATTTCGCGTGTGTTTCCACTAGTCACTGGTCCTCAATCTGCCAGCTCATCGTTCTTCTCCGTCCTGACAGGCACTCAAAGAGAGCTCAGAAGAGATAGACAACGGCCTACAGTATCACTTGACCAGGTATGCCTTCCTCTACGAATCGACGATCCTGGGAGACGGGATGGCAGTCTCCCCTATACCCGCTGTCGAAGGTGCGTATCCGAGCATTGCTCGCGAGGGCTCTGAGCCGCTTGTACCTAGAACGAAGCGTCTGCGGTACTCATACGCAGCGCCTGATCCTTGCAAGCAGGCAACCCCGGCCTCAAGACTGCTGCCGAGTCCATCGACAACAGGACCGACTTTAGAACATTCATGTCCAACTATCAGATCGTACATGCGCGCGACTACAGAGGCCCGCGACGCGAGGGTCCTTACGAAGAGGGATTTGTGAGTACCGAACGGGAATGCTCTGGGCGTGAACGTGCTGTGCTTGAGGCTCAATCTGTAAGGTGTTTTGGACTTCGTTCAGCTCAATAACCCGGCGATGAGCGGACTGGCTTCTGCCAAGAGCACTTCTGCACCGTCCACGAAGCTCACACGGCCGATATTTGGTGTGCACCTGGCCGACCAGATGGCAAGGGATGGAGTAGAGATTCCGCCGATTCTTGAAAAATGCGCAGAGGCGATCGAAGCTGTCGGATTGCAGAACATGGGCATCTACAGATTATCGGGAACAACGTCCAAAGTGCAAAAGCTCAAGGGAAAGTTCGATGCAGACTGGAACGGCGTGGATTTGATGAACGATGAAGCTATCAACGATATCAACATCGTCGCTGGTTGCCTCAAGCTTTGGTTCAGAGAATTGCCGGAACCGCTCATGACTTGGGAGCTGTATCAGGGCTTCATCGATGCTGCTAGTGAGTCGCTGTCGAGAGGGGGATATCGCATGACGTGCACCTACTGAGTGCGCTTGCTTTGTGCGGCTCGAACTTGCAGAGGTGGAGAACGATCGGCTGCGGCATATACGGATGCACGAGCGCGTCAATGATCTGCCCGACGCGAATTACGCGACGTTGAAGTACCTGATGGGTCATCTGGACAAGTGGGTGTGGCACCGTGCAGTCGATCTTTCGTTCAATGACTGATCGCGCCCTTTTGCCCCCTCATCCCGTCTCCTTATCCGACCGTTGCGCTCAGGATCCGATCCGAATCGGATCACAACCAAATGTCCATTTCGAACCTAGCCATCGTCTTTGGGCCCACACTTTTGAGCCCTCCTCCTGCTGATCTGTCAACGCACCACGCATCCAACGGGACAGGTCTGGGCGATAATGCTGCCAATGCTGGAGGCGCGGATGCTGCAGCTGGAGCGCTGGGGGGAGCTCAATTGCAGGATATGAGCTGGCAGTGCAAAGCGGTAGAGACCATCCTGGAAAGATATGCCGCCATCTTTGTGGACGAAGGCGAGGAATGAGCATGGCCCGCTGGCTGATTAGCCTCGCTAATTTGCCGTGGCCCTCTCTCTCTCTCTCTCTGCCGCATTTGCCAAGTCAGCCCCTCCCCACCCCACATACCATTTTTTTTTTGCCGCTTTTCACCACACTTTGGACTGGGGAAACATTGCTCGCTTGCTCGCCCGTCTCGTCGTCGTCGTCGTCGTCGTCGTCTGTGTTTGTAAACTCGATCTTGCTCTTTTGACCTCTTTTCCTTGTTGGAAATGGATGCTCGCTTCGCTCCTCCCGCTGCATTCGTGTCAGGTGAGAAAATGATTATTGCGAGGTTGACACCTTGATCAAGACCTCTCGGAATGGTCGTTTGTTGGTGGACTGCATGGCTGATTGCATACATGCGGCCATGTAGTGTGCTTTCAGAGCAAGATTCTAGTCCGCCCAAGTCGCCTAGCTAGAGGCAGAGCATTTGATTGGTGAGAGGATATCGACCTCTCTCGATTTGAGCCCGCTGCATGCTGGCTTGCATGGCTTTGTTGGGTGTTTGCGGAGGGACAAAGGGACAAGCAAGCCAGCCATCAACGCGAGCGAGCGAGGCTTGTGCGCTGTTTTCCCCGGCCCCGCGCGGGGGCTCCGTCTTTGCACGGAAAGTCACGTCACGATCGAGTCACAGTCTGAGTGCTGCGTGCGCACTCTGCGTGCCTTTCTTTCATTTGTGCGCGATTTGGTTCGCGCGCATAAATGAGGCGGGCGGGGCGTGACCTGCATGCAGCAGTCACACAGTGAAAGGGATATGAGCGGCGGGGTATATCTGTTATGAGCAGCCGTGAGTCGTGAGTCATGAGTCACAGTGTGAGTGTGAGTTGCCGTGTGTCGACTGCATTCCTCGATGTGACGAGCTGCTCCTTTCCCGACCACATCATCGCAGCCCTTGTGTCGGGTGCTAGCATACTGAGCACTCGCGTTCGGAAGGCCCAAAGCGGCGCATCGATACAAAGTGAATTGGCAGGCGAGTCTTTCTAGGAGAAAGTGAGGAGAGGAAAAGAAGAAGAAGAAGAAGAAGAAGAAGAAGAAGAAGAAGAAGAAGAAGAAGAAGAAGAAGAAGAAGAAGAAGAAGAAGAAGAAGAAGAAGAAGAAGAAGAAGAAGAAGAAGAAGAAGAAGAAGAAGAAGAAGAAGAAGAAGAAGAAGAAGAAGAAGAAGAAAGATTGCGAGATGATTTCGCCTTTTCTCTCGTTGAGCACCTCTTCCATCTTGACTCTATCCTACGTCGGAGGTCTTTACGTATCGAGCAAGACGAGAGTGGGCACACTAGACGAATCTACGGGATTGAAGAGGACGAAAGATGATGCAGATGTGGTGCGGGCTAGATTGAAGACGATTGGTTATGTTGCTGCGGGGAGCGTGGTCTTGACCCTTGCCGTGCTGAGTGGAGCGGATGAGGGCACGGAAAGAGGCAAAGTGGGTTCGCTGAGCAGCCCTTTCTGCTGGCGTAATCACACCATCGCTGATTTCACAAGAGTATCCTACTTCGTGTTTTAGCATCCTCTTATCAGGTGCATCACCCTGCTCTCCAAGATTGGACTTCCGCTGCCATATCCTTCCATCCTCACCAACGCCTTTCCACCTCTCGACCCACCATTGTTCTCCTTTTTGCTTACACAAGCAAAACATGTCCTATACGGTCTTGGCTTGACAGCAACTTTGTACTTTGGACCGCTCGTCACGTTGGCTTTGGACAAGGAGCTTCCAGGTCAAGAAAACTTCGAGTACAAGAGGGACGTGCAAAGTCGATGGGACAATGTCTGGGGACTGCGAAACTACGTCGTTGTGAGTGTCGCAGACGGACGCCCTGCTCAAATTCCGAAGCTGGGATTGAAGCTTTACGAAGTGCAGCCATGCAAGGCGACTAATCTGCTACCCTACCATGCGCACGTGCACAGGGTCCTCTGACAGAAGAGATCGTCTTTCGAGGCTGCATAGTCGGTCTGACATCAAGCACGCGCAGCAGCACGCTCTTTCACTCCATCTTTCTGACTCCTTTCTACTTTGCCGTAGCGCACCTGCATCACGCTTACGAAGTCTGGGCGGATCACCAATACAGCACGACCGGTTTGAAAATCGGCTTGACGCACGCTACTTTTCAACTGCTCTACACCAGCTTGTTTGGTTGGTATGCCAATTGGTTGTTCGTCAAGAGCGCTTCGCTCGCTCCTAGCCTCGTCGCTCATGTTTGGTGCAACATCATGGGCTTGCCTGCTCCCTTCGACGATGCTTCGCGCTTGGCTGTGCCCGACGCAAAAGAGCAAAGAAGATTTGAAAAGGATTTGCTCAACGTCTCAAACGAAAGGGAAAGAGCGCATGTTCTCGACGCATCAAAGGCAATTCAGAGCAAGCTGAAGCGCAGAAAGTGGATCGTGTGGACGTCTCATGTGATGGGAGTGGCAGGCTTTGCATGGGCCATCAGGATGAGTTGATTCGTGTTCGATTCCATCACGTACAGAGGCTTGCTCTGAATCTCATCACTGCGCCGAGACGTCCGACCAAAGCTGTGTTCAGACAAACAGCCATGTATTGCGTGAACGATTTGCACGAACACTGCCCTGGAGGAAGGATGACACCAAGCTGATCACGCATTTTCTGCGTCGTGCTGCTCCGCCTCTTCTTCACCTAGGGTGTCCGCCTGAGCCTGAGCCTGATCGCCGCCCCACCAGCCTCTTAACGCGTTGCGCAGCATGCCAATAGGCCCCATATCTGCATCATCTCCTTCTTCCGCCTCCGCAAACATTTCATCGCCTTCTTCTCCATCTTCATCAGCAGCCTGACCAAATGCGCCCGGAGGTTCATCTGCCGCCACGCCTCTATTTCGCCTCGCCTCAGCCGTCATCTGCATCAGCTCGGCCATGAGGTCTTCCTGGTCACAGACGGAACGGGAGCACACGCACGTGATGCGTGAGTGTGCAACAAAATATGGTGCGGCTCGATCATTCAAAATGATATCAAGAGATGCATACTCACCCGAGTCTCGTCGTCCATCTGCTCCATCGCAGCCCCCCACTCCTCCAGTCCGCCCCCACCTCCTCGCATCATGTTGACAAGGTTCTGCAGCGCATTGGCCAGCCCTCCACCTCCTGCAGCACCGGCAACATTGGAAGCCAGCCCGCTCGCCCTCATCTGCCTCTCCCTCTCCCGCTGTACAGGCGCAAAGTACTCGTCGTCGTAGCACGTCGCATGAGGACCTTTAGGAGGCAGGGGGTCCCACGCGTCCAGCGATTCCTTGTTTGTGATCTCGGGAGGAAAGTACCCTATGAGCTTTTGACGCAATGCGTCGGGCACTGCGCAAGCACGCAAGTAGAAAGGGAGACACGCGCGTGAGGCGGAGGAGCCTGCGAACAACCAGAGGAGATGCTACTCACAGTCGGACACCAGAACGTGCCTATACACGGCTCGACGATGGGTGTCTGAGCATTGCAAAGGTCTCGGCTTGTTCTCGCTCTTCTGTAGCTCAGGCCAAATCTCTTCCAACGTATCTAAAAGCCACTGGTTCGTCGCAGGTTCTCTCCAAAGGCTCTCGCTCCTAGCCACGTAGATATTGCCAAGCAACAGAGCAAGCGCGTCTTCCGAGGCCGAGTATCTGTCCTCATCGATGCGGAACAGATTCGAACCTGCAAGGGATTGTGGAAGCGCATTGCCGATCTTGTCGAAGAGCATGGTCACAAAGACGGGGCATCTTGCAATGGCCAGCTTGAGCGCTGCGCTGCTGCGTTCACTCTCCTAAAGAGCCCAGCGGAAGGTTAAGCGTCAGTGGCCTCACGTCATCGCAATCTGATCCTCGTTGTGTCCGGCTGTCTCACCTGCCTGCCCTCGTCTTTCTCAATAGCTCTGACAGCCAGCGCTCTAGCGTAATACAGACCCACCGTCCAATCCAAGGCGGACCAAGGCTCTTGCGCAAGCCCAGCTTCTTTCCAAAGTTTCTGCTCGAGCGGATTGAGCTTGACGCGAAGCTCTTTGGCCTTGCCCTGGGCTTGCAACAATTTGGCATTGCTAGCGTCGAGCTGGTCGAGCATCTCGACGAACCAGCCGTACTGTCTAGCTTTGACGGCGATAAAGTCGATCCAAAGCACCGAAGCGTGCGGGTCCTCCAGGGGATCCAATCCGAGTATGAACTTTGTCCACTCCAACGCCGTCCTCCACGTTCCCTTTCTGCACAAAAAGTTAATCTGCCGATGCACCGCCAACCACAATCCTCTATTCTCCACCTTTGCAAAGTCCACCTGAGGAGGGCCCGAAGAAGACACCAGGCCGGAGGTAAAGATAGGAGAGGCGGTCCGCTCGTATGCGAACAAGGCGCGAGCGTTGAAGTCTGAAGCTTGGCCTAGATCTCCTTGATGGCGAGAAATATCCGACAACTGCAGCAGGGTGTCCACATGCCAGGGACACTGCCTGAGCAGAGCTACCAATTGATTCGGATCGTACCTGAGCGGGGGCGCGTACAAAATCAAGAGAGGACGTCAACAGATGCATGCACAGCACGGCAGATACTCTATCTGGCAGCAACTCACGATTGTACTGCTTGCAAGAATGCCAGCTGCACTTGGCGATAAGCGCTGCATCGACGCGGGACAGCCAAATTGCTCATCATTTCAGCTAGACGCCTCAAATCAAAGAGACACTGGCGCGCGCTACATGAGATCTCCTCACCGGCTATGTATCCAAGCACCCATCCTTCCCCTTTCCGAAGTCAGCGTCTCCATGTTCATTCCCGTAAACGTCCTACTGATAGGCGGCCAAGTGTCGGGCGGCTGTACCAAGGTGTTCCTGAACCTACTATTGGAGTTCCAATTTGTCTGCGCTCTCCTAGATGCGGCACCGCCCGCAGTATTGTTTCCCGAGGCTGCCATTTCGGCTTCATAAGCTCTGACAGCTGCAGCTCCGAATTGTCGCTTGAGCTCGACCGTAGGATCGAGGAATGATGCGCTGAGAGCCAGAAGGGAGCGCAAGGATGACAGGTGCGTGTTGGAGAAGGAAGCATCAGCCTCTTGAGATGTCGACGATCCGACTGCGTCGCCAGACAACTCCGACGAGCGACCAGACAACTTGGCTTGCGAGGCCAACAGCTCGGTGAATTCGTCCATGCTCATATTGCCAAGCGTCTTTTCACCATCTGCTTTTGCCTTGCTAGATCCGCTCGCGCGGCCGTTGCTAGGCTTCTTGGCTTTTCTTTGAGCTTGTGGCTGCGGACCAGTCTTTCCCGCACCTGAGGCGGGCTTCGTAACTTGATCTGTTCCAATGCCCGGTGCAGTCGTAGCCTCGGCAGCATCAGCATCGTTCGAAGCATTCGTTCCCTCTTTCGACTTTCTCTTTTTCTTTCTCCTCGCAGTCTTCTTTCGCAGCGAATCTTCTCCTTCTCCTGAAGTCCCGTCGTCTAGACCACCAAGCTGCAAAGGTTGCTCGGATGGAATGTCAGTTGCAGATCCTCATACCTTTGCCAATCTCCTCCTCCTCTACACTCACCGCCGCAAAGAATCCAGCCTGTCCAATGGAAGTGCCCTCGCCGCGCTCGGCCGCATCTTCTTCATTGTCCGTCTCAGCTTTCTCGGACTCTTCGTCCGACGCGTCCACTCCATCGAATCTGACCTGCCTATCCGTCGCTGCACTTGGTCGTTCCCCGGCCTCCTCAAGCGGAGGAGCTTCCGGTCCCGATTGCTTTTCGCCTTGCTGCTGCATTGACGCCTGTAATGTATTGGTCTCGCGTGCGCCCTTACCCTCACCTTCCAGCACGGCACCTCTAAGACTCTCCTCCCATTCCCTCGCAAATTCAACGATGCTCTTGCCGTCGCTGTGCTGCAGAACGTCTCTGGGAACCATATTCCTGACATGCGTTGGGGCAGACTGACTAGCCTGTCCTTCGCTGCTGATGAGTCTCAGCTCCGGTTGAGCGGGTGGAGATCTGCTCGCTTGAGCAATGCGGTGCCCTTGCTCTCCGTGTATGCGGGCCGCTTCCGACTCTAATTCTTCCCAAGTCCACAGCAGACTGTCCGTCCTGGGCAAATAAGGCCCCACGTCCACCAAGAATACGCGGTCCATATTTCTAGTCAAGTACGCATCGAACACAAAGTCCTGAACACTGAATCCCGCATCTCTTCCTTTTTTGGCGCCAGGCGGCGGCGTTCTAGGTCGGAGGTACGTTTCGTAAAAGTCGACGAGCTGCGCACGGATGGTTTGCTGCGTCGAAACGTCTTGCAGGTGGGAGTAGAAGACGTTGTCGCGCTGAGAGATGCCGATCAGGTTGGCCGCTCGAACGAAACATCGATACTCGTGCGAAGGTGGCATGTCGAACCATTTCTTGAGCACCAAGCCTGCTGGCACATTCTTCATGGGCTCAAGAGTCGCACCACCGCTGCTCATTGTGGCGATCTCCAACTCGTCCTGCGCAGCGGGTGCAGAGGTGTCCTCACGATGCGAATCGGTGGAAGAGATGGCCACTGCACTTTTCCCAGCAGTCGACTGAGCATCGTAAAGAAGCTTGGCTTGCTCCGTGTCGTTGGCGACAAAGTCGGACGACTTGAGCAGCAAGTAGACATCGGCAGGCGTCGTACATCGCAGGGTCGAGCCAGCTACGATCCAGGCAGCATCCTGTACGCAGAGCGAGGTCAAGTGTGTTCAGTCATGCTACAGGAGCGCGATCGAGCAATGTATTGCTCACCAAAGGTGCGCTCCAGTTGAGCTTAGGAAAGACGGCGCCATCGTAGCTCTTGATGACGTCTCTGATCCTGGCATCCAGCCTATCAAATTTAGCCGGTCTCACATCTTCCGCATCGTCCTCGTCCTGCGCATCTGTTGGTCTCCGCGTCGTCTGCTGCTCCCCTTCTCTTCCTATGGGCAAGTCAGAGCCCTCAGGCAAGACGATGCCATCCTCTTCTAACCATTTCAAAAATTCTGGTTGCACCTCTTGCAAATCTATGATGGTAGCTTTGGGAGAGATCTTTCGAAAGTTGGGATACCAGGTGGAGAAGAGGGTGCTCTGAAGCGCTTGGGATGGAGAGGTTAGGGCCGGAAGGGCGGAAGGGCGGGAAGCCGTTGGCGTGGAAGAGGTGGTCATGCTGAATGCGCAACTATTTGTGAGCGTCTGTGTCGAATAGAGGCGGCCACGACTAGCGCTTGGCTCTACCTGAAACGTTCCAAAGGCAAAGCTTAGGCGGAGCTGTTTGAAGTGTTTTGTGTCTCACCACTTGACCCGCCAAATGAAGCACGTCCCTCTCGACGCGCTTTCGATCGAACAAAGTCTCGCGAGGTGCGAGTGTATGTGCGAGGCCAGACGAGATTGTTGATCGTGCTTTCGGCTGTGGGCAAAAATGGTGGTCGAAGCGAGCACCACTTGCAGACCTTGATCACAAAGCCCATCTATGTCTCTCTCTCTCTTTCTCTCTGCTCCCTCTTGTCGCGACTTCTGATGACATGATTTTTCGGTGTGTGTGGAGGAGCTGCTGTTGTGTATAGGCGGCATATACATGTGTGCGCACATGCATGATTCAAATTCTGATGATTGCTGCGTTTCAACACGGTCACGTGATCAGCAAATTCACGTGCAACAGAAATCACGACTCAAACTCGTGACTCGTGACTCCACATCCAGCAGCATGGGACATCGATCTTGGTCTTTGTGAGGCCCGAGGCCAAAAGCTGCTCAACGTCTCGAATCGCCGTCAATGTTGGTCTCGTCCACGACATGCTTCTCCCTCGACTCAAAGACTTGCAATGCTAAGCGTCCAAGACAAGCACACGGCACGTTGACATTTCGCACGGCTAGACGAGCGCGAATATTTCAACATGGACCTTCCGACCAGACTAGGTCCTCAGCGCAAGAAGATCAAATTGAATCCTGCCTCGGCCCACTCTGCAAGCACTCCAAACGCGACATCTCCCGCTTCGTCAGCTGCTTCCTCAAGATTCACGCTTGAAGCTCTTCAGAAAGTGGACCACAAGCCAGCATCGAGCTCATGCAGGCGCATTGATGGAGCGGAAAAGGGACAACCATCAGCTTCTTCCTTCTTGAACCTGAAGGCTGATCTCGCTGAGAGACAAGGAAGGAGGGAAAGGGAGACGAGAGAAAAGGTGTGTAGGTCTACAAGCGATGCATCGAATCGTTCAGTGCGCGCATACATGCGTTGATCCTCAACCCTCTGACGCACGCTCAACTCGTGACTCGCTCGGCCTGTCTCTTCCTTCCCTAACCGGGTCGAACCTTGCCGACCCTTCTACAGTCCTCCAACATTCTTCCCTCTCATCTTCTCCCTTCCCGTTCAACCCTAGATCGTTCTCACAACAAATCGTCCGGCAATCGCACCACTTCTTCGTGGAGCAACACGCCATCGGCACAATTGGAAGCTGCTCGTCTTTCGCTCGAACGCAAAGCAAAAGCTTACGAGTTGCTTCGCAAGGGAAAAGAAGGAGGAGTAGATGAAGAGGAGTTTAGAGGTGGGGTGGTGGATTGGGATCTGAAGCGGATGCGCGATGAAGATGAGGGGAGGGAGGATGAGGATGAGGATGAAGAAGCGGAGGGTAAACGGGATGAGAATCTCGCGAGCGTGGGAGGAGAGGATCCACTGATCGAGTATACGGACGAACTTGGAAGGTCTCGAATGATGAGGCGCAGTCAAGTTCCGAGGGACTGGTTGAGGGAGCAAGAAAGAAAGACTCAAGAGGGCAACAATGGTGATGATGGTCAAAGCTACGATGAGTCAGTCTCGCCTTTCCTCCTCGTCTCACGAGCAATTCAGAGCTGACGCTCGACAAACCTTTTGCCCGCTTGCGCAGCGCGATCTACGCTCCTCAGACAGACTTTCCAGTCTATCAAAGAGACCCTCGAACTCTTCCGGTGACATCTAGCCGCAATCAGAGACATTTCGACGCTTCACACGAAGTGAGGAACAGGGGGGCCGCATTTTACGCGTTCGACAAGGACGAAGATGCGCGTCAGAGGCAGATGAGGGAGTTGCAAGAGGAGCGAAAGAAGACGGAAAGTAGACGAAAGAGCGAAGATGGGGAAGAGGTGCAGCTGGATGAGAAGGGAGGTGTGGGCCGAGGTGTGGATCAGGATGAGCTGAGAAGAGAAAAGAGGAGGAGAGAAGTGGAGCAGAAGAGGAAGGAGTTGGAAGCGAAGAGGAAGAAGACGCTGAGCGATTAGCCCATTGGGGCGGAGCGTTCCTCTTGCGCTATCCCACATTCAGCTCGCTTTCGAGCGCTTCGTGCGTCATGTCGTCTGGCGCGGTGTCGCTTTCGCCATGTATGCCCCAATCATGAGCGCTAGCAATCTGCATGTCCTCTTCGTAAATCTTAGCAGCGCAATACCGCACCCAAATTGCGCAGCTCTTCGTGCCTTTGCTGTTCGTTTGACATGAATGCGAAGTGGGTGTACGCTCAGCTATGCTGTGTGGTGAGCGTCGCAAAGTATTCAACGAAATGCCAGAATTAGAGTCGACGGCAGGGAGAATCTTGCTGCAATCACAATTTAGCGCGCGAATGGGATGCCCTGTGCTGCTCGTGCAGCGGCAAGCGCACTAAATCCGGTTCATCCGATTCGCGCTCACGACTCTCGACCAGCCATGTCGAGAATCCTAACAACCACGACCAGTGACCGAACAAGGCAGAACCGAAATCACGAATCCTTTCGATCTTCACCCTCCTTTTACTCCGCCATCTCTGCTCGCTCGAAAAGTGAGACGCGTGGAAAAATGTCGCGCTCAGGCCCACAAGCGTCGGACTCCGCCTCGAATCCAGACGCAAAGCAAGTAGCGCGATCATTGTGGAAAGGTGCTGATCTGCCGCTATCGGTGCTGGAGCAGACGAGCATACACTTTACTGGTCCTCTCCATCCCCTGCCCAGCTCTTATCGTATTGGAGTAGCAGCCCAAGTGAGTTTGAACGCATCCTCATCCCCACCCCCCTTATCCTGACTCGAGCGTCAACATTGCGATGTACGGATTGGGGTTTGCATACATCACGCGTTTGACATGGATCTGATTTGCAATCTTCGCATCCGTGGATTCGTATGCGATTCAGGCTTGCATAGCGGTTGTGGCCCTCGCTGCCCAGCTCTTGCATCATCTTCGAGAGAAGAAGAGCAGCAGCAGCAGCGATGCATCTCGAGATGCCGCCGAACGGCTGAATCTGGACCATGCCTCGTTCGCACCGATCACGGTCGATTCGTTACACGCCTCCTTCGAGTTCAATTCCGAGAAACATATCCGTGAGTTTCGCCAGGCGTGGCAGCTATAGTCAGCTGCCGCATCGCTGGGGGGCGTGTGCCTATCAATGAGGGCAGGGCAACAGACTGATTTGAAAAGCGCCCCCCCCCGCAAACGCCCCGCCCCGACTCGAATGAATGAATGAATGTTCGGAGTGCACAGGAGTTGCTCCAGGATGGACAGACACAGTTGCAGACTCTCTGCTATTGTCGAGCCCCGAAGCGCAAAGACTCGTCAACATTTGCCCCGAAGCAGCAAAAGAGTGGGACGTTCTAGCAGGCATCTATCGTACCAAACCTACGTGCAACAAGAGCTCCTCCACCGCTTCACCTCACGTCCGACTGCACACCAATTTCCCTCATCACAAGAGCGGCTTGCTGGAGATTCTAGGACTGATGCCCGTGTCAAAGCCCGCTGACATGGTGCCATCGAACGTCGAAAAGGAACAAGCGTCCCGAGTCACGCGAGAAGAGGTGCAAGAAGCCCTCTTGCGATGGGAAGGTCAAGCGTTCGAGAGGAGAGCGAGAGAAGAGAGAATGTGCGCTACAATGTTTCGAAGGCAAAAAGATTGGGATAGCTGCGAGGTCGGAGGGGCGATACGCGAATGGGTGCAAAAAGATGAAGGCGTTCCGTTTCGCATCACTGCCATCTCTTCCCAAGCTGACGACGTGCGAGTGCCAAAAACATCGGACCCTAAGCGGCACGCAGCTGCACAAGCGGTCCTTCCAACCTCTACGCATCCCAGTGTCAATGGTCCTCTACTAGGCCCCACCCCTCACCTACGGGCACTGCGCGTGCTAGACTTGTCCAGAGTGCTAGCAGGCCCTATAGCAGCGCGCACCCTAGCGCTGCACGGCTCGCAAGTCTTGCAGATATCCAGCCAAAACTTGCCAAATCTTCCTTTGGCAGAACTGGATACTGCTAGAGGCAAGCGATGCGCCACGCTCGACTTGAACGAGGCACAAGACCGAGAAAAGTTCAAGCAGTTGATACAGGGCACAGATGTCGTCTTGCAAGCTTATAGACGTGAGTGTAGGTAGGGCTGCATTCTCTTGGTCCGTGGCGCGCGCGAGTGCGACCTTCGTTGATTGCCCGTACTGGGGCCCACGCGCTTTCCAGCGGGCTCAATTGCCTCCAAAGGCTTTTCGCCATCAGAAGCGCAGCAGCTTCGTCCAGGTATCGTCTACGCATCCCTATCCGCATACGGTTTCACAGGTCCCTGGTCAAATGTTCGCGGGGTGAGTGCATCTTCCCAGCAAAAGGCATGCTGACCATCTATCCACCTGGCGATCCATTCGTCCATTCCGGACATGATTTCGTGGTCGTGGGCACGGAGAAGCTGACTTGTTCGCCCCCATCTTGTCAACCTGTTCCAAACCCCTCCCCCCAACCGCACATCCGTTCGGGCGTCCATATTTATCGTCGGGCCCAACTCGACAGTTCGACTCGTTGACGCAGACTGCGTGCGGCATCAATCATGAGGAAGCCCTATCCTACGCGCGCTATCGCAAAAGCAACCAACGCGAGGCACAAGGGGATGTGAATGCGGATGTGGATTCCGGAGCTATCGAGCCCAGAGCCTTGCCTTGCCAAGCTTTGGACCACGCAGCGGCGTACATGTTGGTAAGTGATCAGTGCGTGGCGCAGCTGAGCACATCCGCAGTCACTCTCCAGCTCAAAGAGAACCTCTCAATCGTTATGTTGATCCTGGTCTCAATGATCCGCTCTTCGCATACCCCCGCCACGTCCGGCCCGCTCAAAAAAGGCCTTTGGCATTCTAGCTTCCTTGATTCGCCACGAGCTGAGCGGTAGCAGCAAAGGTTCGCACGTACAAGTATCTCTAGCGGGCGTAGCGTACTGGCTCACTTCCCTGGGTCGCGTGCACGGCGACGAAGCATGGGAAGTCGATCCTCTTCCCAACGTTGAGGCCTATTTGCAGGCAAGCAAGATCCGTTCCGACTCTCGCGCGGATCAAAAGGGCGAGCAAGTGCGAGCAACACTGTTCGGAGTGGCGCATGCTGCCAACATTCAGGGCGTATCGACTCGTTACGGGGAAGCGCCGGTCAGGATCGGGATCGATGCTGCAGAATGGGCGGCCTGAAGCATCTTTCGCCTTTTTTCTTTTCGACGGACGAAGAAGACCGATGAGGGCTCGTCAAGTCGTGGCATGAAGCGATGCGGAGAGCGATGCGCTCATCGTGCTTCCAAAGATTCGTCCCCTTCCGCAGCTTTCTTGACGGGTCTGACGACAACACGAGTACCTCTGACATCCGTCAACCAAGTGGGCAATCCTTTGCGATCACGTCGCGCCGCTCCGGCCTCTTCTTCCGACCTCTTTCCATCTTTTGCGTTGGCGCTCTTGTCGTCCGCGCCGCTCTGTACCAATGCTCTCATCCCCGCGAGAATGTGAGTGCCCTGTATCCTGAGTCGTATGGGCTCTGCACCAGGTCCGGCGAGCGAGACGGGCCGATAAGGACCCTCCGCGGGCGTAGGTAAATGCAGCTCGTAGTCTATCCTTTCGATGCTAGGTATATCCTTGTTTCCCTTTCCCATCCTTTCGCCAAACAATTCTCTGATCTCCTTTTGTCGATGGGTCTCCACTTTGCGCTGCAGTGAGAGGCGAGCGGCGCGTACTGCTGGATGCTCCGCCGTACCGGTAGCATCGAAGTCGGCTGCACTCGACTCTTGAAGTTGCGCGTCGGCTGATGAAGCGTCCAGCAGACGTTTGCGCTTATTGGCCCCTAGAAGCGGTTCATCTTCGGCGTGCCCGTGTCTCATAGCTCTTCCTGCGCCTCCCTCAGCTCCGGGTCTCGCACTTGCATTCCCAAATCCAGCATCGCTTTTGGTTGCAGGAACTCCAGCAGCCTCAGCCTCACCAGCTAGAAGCACATCCAAGAGCGCTCTGGGATCCTTTCCTTTGAGTTCGGGTAACGTCTTGTCTACCTTTCCTTCTGAATCCTCTTCATCTCTGCCACCTTTCGTGCTCGACCGACCAGCGACGGCACTTTTGGGACCCCTTACTTCTAGAGCCCCTAGAGCTTGAGCCAAGGCGGCATGCAGGATGCTGCGGGAATTTCCGCCGCCTGCACGGCCCAGCGATCCGCTCAGAAGCACCCAGCGCGTTCCAGGCACGTACAGGATGTGCGTACCTCCGCATATGTCTGGAGCGTGTGGTGGGAGGGTGAGGTGTAGGTGGATGAAGGACGAGGTGATTGAGGTGACGGGTGTTTGTAGAAGATAGAGGTGGTGTGTAAAGTAATTGCGCAGCTCCGAGGTCAGACGCGCCTGCATCGCTTGAGGTGAGATGCCACGCAATGCTGAAGGTGCTGAGAGGGCGAGGAACTTGCGTCACGGTCAGCGAACGCTATCGGCGGACTGCCTCTCTTTTGTATATTGGGCTTGCTCTCCACGCCTTGCACTCACTCGCATCTCCGTCGTCAAAGAAAGCTCTTGCAGCTGTCCAGGTGCGACTAGTGGGACTGACTTGAAGCGCTTCAGCAGAAATCATCGAGACCATAGCGTAGCTGATTCCCTCTGGCCAATCAGTCTCCATAATCCTATCCACCGCTCTGCTCTTGGGCACTCTGCCATCCAACATGGGTCCCTTCCACAAAGCTCTGAGTTCCTCGACATTCCTGGCCCTTCTAGACTCGTGCAGGTCCAAGTAGGTTGACGTGGAGGTCCCAGTCGAAGCGCCTGCATTGCGACGACTGAAAGAGGGAGGTGTGATGTCTCGATCGGTTGATCGACCGGAAGATGATAGAGATGATAACCAGCGCGAAACGAGAGAGCAGATGGAGGCTTTGGGCAGAATGGTCAGCAGTCGGCGTAATGCTGGTGTGGGCGCTAGTAGCGTGGAGGAGGGGATGCTTTGAAGGGTGTGAATGGATTTTTGACCGGTGGCGGAGCTGCCGGGTATAGTGCTGGCCCCTAGCAGGTCAGTGGTGATGGCCATTGTCTGCGGCAGATGAGAACTTTTGTCAGGGCTCGCTAATGAATGCAGGAAAGAGTAGTGGCAAGAAGGTGAAGTGATGGTAGGTCTACTGAAGAGTGCCCCCGTTACAGTATGGAAGACATCATCAGCATACACACTGTCCAGCTATGCATTCGTCACGCACCGATCGTGTATCAATCGCAAGGCGATCAGGCGCGAAGGTCACTCCTCTATTCATACCCGCGCGTTGCAAAGCTGCTCGCTCGATCATCAACCAGCAGATGCCGCGGGCCAGCAGCAGACGCGTCGCGGCGCGCCTAGCCGCGCAGACACACGTGATTGAAATATTGACGCAGCGGAGGCGCGGCGGCGGGCGCGCGCCAGCGCAACGATCACGGATGAGAGCGGCGCGGCGCGGCGGCGGGGGCCAGTGATGAAGGGCGTGCTGGGCGCGCGCATGCCCGAGGCGGTCGATGTCGACAACGTCGTCGACGTGCTGCGCGCCGCCGCATCACAGGCGCGAGTTGCGCACGGCCATCTTATGCTCGTTTGTTGCTGATGATGAGCGGGGTGGTGCGAGGCGGCTCAGCGCGCGCGCGTTGGCGTTGGCGCGCGATGGGGCGCTCTGGCATGATGCAGTCGTGAGTAGTCAGTCAGAGGCCGTCACGAGGTGAGCTGTTAAAGTCTATAGCCTGCAAGACTCACATTGATGCTTGGCTGCAATTCAGCTGAGGTGTTTGCCGCGTTGTCCAGCTTGGCACTCTCCACTGCTCCTCCACCATCCTCCAACACTCACAGACTTGCGCTTGACTCTTGACTGCCGCTTCTCTCTATCACGAGTGAGCAAGTACTGCATTCAGACTGGTACTGGAGTCTTTTGCATCCAACGGGTATCTTCTATTTCATTGGTCACTTTCCAAGTCGATAGACCATCATGGTGCGTATTGACGCCGGCTTCGTAGCTCGAGACTTGAGCACGTCCTTCGAAGCGTGGCCAAATGCGCCGGAGGGTGGGTAGCTAACGATCGCCACCCTTCCAACATGCACGCTCTGCACTCATCCAGGACCGCATCAAGGAGGTGAGCGATTTTGGAGAGCGTCCGGGTACCCAGCGCCATCCACCTCATCGCTGATGGCACCCGCTCATCTTGTCCTTCAGAAACTCAACTCCCTTCGAGCCGAGGCTGATCAAGCTATTGATCGAGCTGAAGCAGCCGAGAAGCGCGTGAAGGACCTAGAGCAGGAGATTCTCACAAAGGATCAAGAGATCGCTTCCCTCTCTCACAAGAACAGTCTCCTCGAAGGAGATCTGGACAAGACGGAGGCCAAGTTGCACGAAGCTAAAGCTAGTCACAATGATCACGAATCTTCTAGGACTGCCGCCGATGATCTTTCTAGAAAGATTTCTCTTCTTGAAGAGGAACTCGACAATGCCGAAAAGAATTTGCGCGAGACCACCGAGAAGTGAGTGGATGTTGTTCCATGCGAGATGGCGTGCATCTAGGCAGCTACTTGGCTTCCAAGGTCGTTGTGGTCGTCTGAGCGCGTAGCGGGAGCGTAGGGTGGTGGAGGGGCGCCGCTTTCGGCACGCCTTTCATCAAAGGCTTTCGACAGGCTTGGTCTTGAAACCTGATGCGGTGCAGGGTAGCAGGTTGGCTTCTCACCTTCTGCACCAAGGAGGATGGTGGGAAGGAGACGACTGTTCGCGCAGTGCCAGCAAACAACGTCGGCCCGGCCATTCTCCCCCCTGGACAGTGCCCCTAAACGCGTAGCTTCTCTCACTGCAAGGTCCAACGCACGCTGACACTCGTCGTGCATATTTCTTCAACCTTGTCCCACTCATCCTTCCCAGGTTGCGTCAGACCGACGTGAAAGCTGAGCACTTTGAGAGACAGGTGGCCAGCCTCGAGAGGGAGCGCGACGGGTGGGAGCAAAAGTTCGAAGAGGCGGAACAGAAGCACAAGCACACCAAGGCGGAATTGGACGAGGTTGTGGCTCAGATGGAAAGCCTTTGAACCGATTCGTCTTCAAGCGGCTTGGTCAAGGATGAGATTCGACACCTAGATCAGGACCAAGAGTCAGCAAAGAAGGCAGAGGCGGAAAAGGAGGCGTCGGTCGGTACATTGGGTGTGGGATGTGCGGATGGGCCTCGCCTGGAATGTGGCTTGGACGACTCCAAGATCCAGTCGGACTGCGAAGCCGTCTGCATGCCAGGCGCTTTACCGCCAGATCTCTCCTCTTTCGCTCCCTCTTCGCCATCTGGCACAGACCAACAGCTTCCTCCACCTGCCCTCGCACCATCCATCAGCGTCGCTCTCGCTTCTCTACTGTACCTGGCCCTGCTCAACACTTCCCTCATCACGAACCTATTCTCCAACATGTGAAAAGGTATTCAAGTCTCTTCTCCGAACGAGTTCTCTGGGCATGGCTTTTGCAGGCCATGCGGTGTGATTACGGACGACTGAGTGCGCCGAAGGCCAGTGCGAGGATTTGGGGGATGTGCGATATGATATGGAATTCGGTTTGACACGTGTCTGACATCCTGCTTGGTCGCGAGGGTATGCCACGCTCATCGTGCTTGTCGCTCGATCGAGATTTGGTTGGGAAAAAGGCACGCAGCATCGATGCTGCGTTTTGCCCCCCCACTCGGTTTTCCCCCAAATTTCGACACGCTTGACTGCACAGGAATGTGGAACACTTCGCAAGTCGCGAGAAGGGGGGGGTCGAATGACTGCGCCCTTTTTGTTGGACGAGCGATGTGGAAAAGGGTGGGATGCACCTTTTTGAAAGGTGGGGGGGGGGGGGGGGGGGG